ATATGCATGATTGATCACGATGCAACTTTAATAACTAAAATAAAGAGTTTAAACCCGACACTCTGCGGGACTGAAGGACATTTACTAGGTTTAAAATTGCCCCAACCAATCAACAAATTTTTTACTATGAAGAGACAGTAGTATCTTCCAATCAGGTAATAAGAAAGCATTCAGCCCGAAGACTGTCCATCGTTCAACTTATAAAACCGTCTCCGAGGAGACGGTAATAATTATGATAAAATATAAGACAGAATTATTCCGTACGAAGATGAGACATATAAGATGTGACAGTCCATCAAATAAGAAATATGACCTTCCAAATGGTCACCTATACAGACTCCTGGTAAAAAAACTCGTGTGATGCTTGTTTAGCGTTCATTGGTGTCGATGATTTACTGTCAGTACATGGTTTTTTTTCGAAATAGTATTACATATAGCAAAACAATGCAGATTTATATAAATTGACTTAATTGCTGATCTGTCTGCTTGAATTGTTCCTTGAAACGCTCTCCTGACCATATACCATTTAAAGCTTTATGCAATAGATAATTAAAGAAAATGCATACTTAATGTTTATTAAAAATTAAAAATAAGGATGCATTGTAAATTCCAAAATTTCTAAGAGGAAGAGATTGGTTTTATCGAGAAGGTAAAAATTCTTAAATTCAAATAGGCTTAACTGCAAAGTCATCCAGAAAATCCTGCCTATGAGGAATTTTCCCGATGATAAATTACCATTCAGTTTGAAGCTACAAGACAATTGCCAAAAAAGTTGGTCAAAACAAGCAGACAGACAGGTTAATTTATTTATTCCTCTCACAAAAAACTATAACCTAAATAAAAAATTGCTTTCGGGGGTTATGATAATACTCTATTCATATCAGAAAGAAGTCGTGAATGGCCCTCGTAGAATGGCCACTAATCCTTCCATAACCAATATCGACATGAACTTTAAATTTTCAATTGACTCATTTGTACTTGTTCATATGCATGAACATATTTTTTGACATTGTACGTCACACAGCTATGGATATTTATATAAATATTTATTGAAATTATTTAAATCTCTGTACACGTGGTAACATTGATATGCTAAAGGTTGAACAAGAATTAGTACATACACTGTGTTCTAAAATTTCAAAAATATGTTTTGGATAACCTTAAATCATGGTATAATTACAAAATGCAACTGGAAATCTAATAAAGGTAAGATGGTAAAATTGATATTCAAATAAGATTTTATTTTTTTTTTTTTTTTATTTGTTTGAATAAGGATTGGCACAAACGATGCCACACCTAAATTCAACAGTATTACGTTAGAAATGTTCCTATGAATAGACATCAGAGGTTAGTTTTCTCACTTTGAATTGTTTCATACTTTTCATGTCTGGGCCTTTTATAGCCGACTCTACAGTATGGGTTTTTCTCATTGTTGAAGGCCGTACGGTTGCCTATAACTGATTACATCCATTTTATTTGAACTTTGGTGGATAGTTGTCTTATTGGCAATATCATACCACATCTCCTTATTTTTATATCATACTATATTTATATAATAACCTTTAAAAACACCGACCCCTCAATTGTACATAAAAGAAAAATAAAGACATGCACACATCTTTTGTGTACATTGATTTACATGAGATTTTATGTTATAGTTATATTTTGATTGGTTGGTGGATGTTTAACGTCCAGCGGCAGATATTACGTGCATATTCAGGACATGTTTAATGAAATACTCTTCTTTGTACTAGACTGGGACATTTTTATGTGCTAGCCGAACACTCCACTTAGACATATTATTCTTACTCTGAACTCAAAAGTCATGCTTTGCTCTTAAACTTAATAGACAATTTTAATATATTTTGTTTGGCCAAGCAGGATATCGAACCCACAACCTCCTGAACTCGAATCGAGACGCTACCATGAGAACGTCGAGGCTGTTATTGTACAGTGAAAACCTTTAAGGGAGTTTTAAAAAATAAAAATTGACCTTTGAATTATCTTTATAAAACATGATTAAGGCAATTTCGAGTACTTTTGTCAGTGTCAACGTAGAAAAGCTACCCAATACTTGGTCCCTTAGTTGATACTTTTGAGGTCTGAAGAATTTTTCCAAATCAGTTGACTCAAAATTGATAAATAATTAAGTTAAAATTTTGTCTGATTCTGAAACCCCTTTTTGTCAGTGCAACCATTAACTTTGTTTAGGGTTCATCCTGCTGATTGTTTATGGTTCATCCTGCTGATCGTAATAACTGTGTTAACATTTAAAAACAAAGATTAAAATCAAGCCATGTCCCTTTAATGACATTTACCTTCACGAATATGTTAAAGGTTTTACATATAGATAACAAACAAAATATTGTGTTTCATTCTCTCCATCCTACAGTTATTAATCCCCGAGATTAACCACAAATAACACATTATTACTATAGCCAGTCAATCCTAGGCTGTGTAAACTTGAAACTTTTTTTTCAAACTTGCACGCTAGAAGGCATGATATCGTGTAACAAAGTTGAATGTCAAAACAACGAAGGTTCATGTACGGCGGTTGGTCTGCTGTGAAGCTAGGATCAGAAGCCCGCACATACATTAGGTATTTTTGTAAGATACTGTCCCTAATTTTAAAAGCCAGGATAATAAATTTTCCAAAAAAAGTCAACTGCTTAACATTTTGTAGACTTAACAACTGTATCAGTTTAAATACGCTCGGTCTATACCAGTAGTATTGTTTTATAAACTTTGCAAGCAAGTCTCTATATGCCGAACGCACAAAAATAAAGTGGAACTCGTCCTCAATTCATTGACTACATACTATGCATAAACGATCCATTACAGGTATGTTTAGAAAACGACCAGTCTAAATATTAAATGAATGTGAAGAAAGTCTTATTTTTGTAATAGCCTTCCGGTATAAAGGAGGAATATATTTAGTCAAGTAATATTGTAAATCTAGGTTTGTGATGATATTTCTGTAAATAACACACTTGCTACTATTTTCCAGAAAAGAATATAGTTCTTGTGTTTTTTCATCTATTAGACACTGTTTTATTACTGAAAAGGCGTTTTCAAATGTTAGTTGAGTCTGGCGTAGCCACAGTTCACCTAGTCCCATGTTGTGTAATTCATCCTTTATCAGTTTTACCCAATTCATCGACCTGCGAATGGTATTTGCACAAGAAGCTCAAAGATCCTAGTAGACACCTTTCAGAATACAGCTATTTGTGTTCAAAAGTTTGAGTCAATATTTAAAAATCTGCAGTTTACGTCCCAGCTCAAAATGCACCATAGCAGTATTGGTTGTTTGCTTCACTTCGAGTAATCTTTTACAAAAACATAAATGGACTTTTTCGATTTCATCTAATTTGGAAAATCCCCAGACTTCACTAGCATAAGTTAAAACACTACCAACGTTAATATCAAAAATTGGCAACAGAGTATGTACGTTCAGATGACAGTTTCTGCAATTAGAAAGCAGTGCAAACATCGATTTTTTTTCCTTGTTCAGCAAGTTTCTTTTGTGCATTTGTAAATTTTCCGTTGAAGTTTAAAATAAATCCTAGATAACAAAACTTGTCCACTATTTCTATGCTTTTGCCGTTGTAAACCCATTTTTTGTCTTCTCTAATAATACCCCCGTTACGAAATATAACTTTTTTGTCTAATCAATATTTACAGTTATATCGAAATTTGTTGTGTACGATTCTAAATAATCAAACGTAGATTGTAGACCTTCCGGTGACTCCGCAAATAACACCATATCGTCCGCATACATCAATAAGGACCGAGATTTGCTAGTTCATATGGCACACATCCATTTTTGAGAAAAGAAATTTCGCAATCATTAACGTATAATGAGAATAATATCGGCGATAAAACCTCTCCCTGTGGGAGACCAACCTTATTTTCAAAGAAATCAGAATACGATTCATTGAATCTTACACAAGCCTTTGCCGATTCATACATTGAACGTAAAGTGTTTCAATTTCCCCCGAATCCCTAAGCGAGATAGCTTTATCCAGAGGATCGTTCTATTTATACTGTCAAAGGCTCACTTATAATCAACGAAACAACAGTAGAATCGATTCTTCATAGCTAATGTTTTACTTATTATAGACTGAAGGCTCCGTGTTGAAGACCGTACTGTGACCTATAATGGTTTACTTTTATAAATTTTGACTTGGATGGAGAGTTGTCTCATTGGCACTCATACCACATCTTCTTATATCTATGAAGTACAAAAATTGCATCAACGGTCATATGTCCCTGACGAAAACCAAATTGTGCATCGGTAAGAATGTCGTTGCTTGCGGCCCACTGTATAAGTCTGCTGTTTAGAATAGCTGTAAATAATTTTGCAAGATTGCATAGTAAACTAATGTCTCTGAAGTTATTTGGGTCATTTTTGTCTCATTTATTGTAACTATTTTGTTGATCATATTTGACATTTACCGTTTTTGCCTATTAATTATACTTTTAAAGATAATCACAAATGCTCAAACTTCGTCAAAAATCATCATTTGACTCATTTCAGGGTAATAACTCCAACAACGGATCCATTTATGGTCTCATGCATATTGGCATTTTTGTCAATTAAAAACGTTTTTTTTAATGAGATGATTGGTCAATATAGAAATAAGAAGATGTTGTATGATTGCCAATTAGACAACTCTCCACCAGAGATGTCAGTCTACTTGTGTTTTAACTAAATGTTCAACAAAATGAAAATACTTTAAAGCACAAACGTTGATTGAATGGATACACTTTGATATGTAATCACTAGTACATGTTTTGCATTGTAACACCAACCAACTTTTCTAGTTTTATTTATTATATACACGGTTGCTATCCCATTTACGTATACCCACACAGTATGTAATGAATAAGATTTGTCTATATTTGAAAAATTACTTTGTACGAATGTACCATTGCAATGCAATCTGTGTCATGCTTTCATGTCAAAATAATTTTCTCTTACTATTTATTTTTACTTTCAGAACCTTACAACGATGTCCTTCGAATGCAGTACCAAGACCCGAAAACATTACTGTTTGATGCTGTATTGCAAGGAAATACTGTAACGGTTAAACAGCTTATTTCCAGTGGAATAGACAAAAATACTGTTATTCATAGCCCAGTCAAGTGGGAAGGTGCTACGATCCTCGGTACTGCCGCTTACGAGGGACATTTTGAAATTGTTAGATTTCTGGTAGAATCAGGAACATCCGTTAATTTCATTGATCCATGCATGGGAAGAAATTCCCTGCACTGGGCATGCATGGGCAATCAGTGTAACATAGCGAAGTATCTCATTGAAAATGGTTCTGATGTAAATCATTCAGACAAAGATCTCGTGACTCCTTTGATACAAGCATGCCTTTGTCAGAATCTTGATCTTGTTCGTTTGCTAATACATCATGGCGCCGATACCAACTTAGTGGACCGTCTGCAGTGTTCGCCTCTTCATTATGCATGCATGTATCGCAATCCTCCATTAGTAGAAATCATAATTAAAAGTGGTTGTGTTTTAAACAATCATTCTAGTTTGGCGAAAGGGACGCCATTATCTAATATAGTTATAAACATGGATATGAAAAATTGTTCTTTGTTATTGAATGCTGGTTACAGTCTTCGGGATGATTCTTGGTTTGAACAGAGTAAGAAATGCCATGATGACCATAGAATTAAAACTCTCATTGACTATCAGAAAACCATTAAGTCACTGAAAAACTTGTGTCGAATAAATGTTAGAAGACAGTTGTTGAAATGTGTGAAAATAGAACATACAATAAATTCACTTGAAATTCCGAATAACTTAAAATCCTATTTGAACATGAAAGAAGTATAGCTATCCGCAAGCTGTTGTCGTAATATTTTGGTACATACATGTATTTGGCATTTATTTTATACAAACATTACATTTTTTACAAATAAAAGAGTAAACAATCATACTTTGTATATTAATCATTTTCATTATTAATGAGTATATATGTTAAAATACAAGATAATTAATTCATCCGACATTTTGTGTTTTAAGTAAACATTGTCTGCAGCACAATAGGCCTGGTTAATTCAATGAAAGTTTAGGTGATATGAATAACATTGTCTACAAGAAAGCCCACTAGCTTTTGCTTTTGAACTGGCACGATCTTCATTGCTATTGATACTTATAAAATATGTTCATTGGCATTGCTGTAATCTAACGTTATCTTCCTGTCTGTATGAACGGGTGTTCCTTAGCTGGTCTGGGGGAGTCTATTTTGGGATAATTGGTCTTCAATTTTATACTTCCGGATTTCCAATATTTGTGTTCGAGCACCACTGACAAGCAAATACTGTTTTAAGATCCGCATACTGTGCATCAAATGAATTTCGGAATCTTGTAATTTTGTATTACAACTACTTCAACTGCTGATATATATATATAATATAGACTGAAAGTTTATATTGACATGACGAGCCCAATAGCAAGTACTTATGTAAAGATATATATGATATTACTTACGGCTGTATTGCGTCAAAAAAATTGAGTCATAAACACTCATTAACCGATCCTCATTAATCACACAAGACTCGTGCACTTTGTGTTATATGATGCATGCTTCAGAATGTATAAGCAAGATTCTTTGAAGAATGTATAGTTTGATAGCAAAGATAGTCTTTCTATCCACTACAAGCATTTATTTCGACCAAACTGAGCGTTTTATAAATAATTCATATATGATACATATAGATAGGACAATACACTGCGCTTCGTACAAGCATTCAGTACGTCGGTTACAAAACAAACCAACAAACTAGATATATACATTTGTAGTCCGGACAACTATTTGATTTCAGAAAGACGGAATGACGGACATTGGTAACACTCTATGTTCTGCCCTTTTAGTGAATATCAAAATGATAGAAATTTTGAATTTCTTCTTAAATTCGAAATCTCAACTTCAGTGTCAAAATGTTGAAGTTTTAAAACATAAAATTTCAAGATTTCAAAAATCAAAATTTGGAGTTGAAACAAAAATTTCAAGATTCAAAGTGTTGAAATTTTATCTTTGAACTCTTTTTCTTTATTTTCACGATGTCCGTTAAACTCTTCCTATTAACCCGGACGAGAAAAAAATTCCACATTAAACTAGTTTCTGCTCCACATTGGGCATCCGTCGTGTTGCTCATGTAGGTAAAAACCCAGTGATAAGTCTAATTCGGTAGTTCTCATTCGGTGAAAAAGGGACGGGAATGTAGTTACGACAATTGGAACATATCGTCATCTGTGAAACAGATATTCCATAACGGTCAACCAACTCGTGATGGTGTCCGTAAAATTTACGAAGGGATGATTTCAACTTCACCTCTTGGAACTCTTGTTTTAATAGCTTCCTTGTGAGCAGCAACCCTCTACCAAGTAAATCATGATAGGAAATACAAGCCCTGGAATATCGTATCAACTGGGAGATATATACTCCGTATGCAGGCGCTGCTCTGATGTTACTACATAGAAATGGAAAGTTCACAATTGGGAAGCTGAAATCATCTCTTTTGTCGTAAAGTTTTGTTTTCAACCGACCGTCATTGTCAATTTCTAGATGTAAGTCAAGCTATACACAATACTTATCTGCATCTGTGGTATCCTTTATCTCAAGTTCGATGGGATAGATGCGGCGTTCAACATAGTCACCAAATTTTTAATTATTTAGTGTGAGAACATCATCTTTATATCGGAAAGTGAAGTTAAAGGATACTGCTAACTTCTTATCTTTCTTCCTAAGAAGTTCCGGTATGAAGTCAGCCTATATGAATGAAGGAACAATTCGGCAAGAAGAGGAGCACAGTTGGTTTTCATGGGAATGCCGATTTGTTTGTTGTTGAAAAACACGTCCTCCAAACGTAACAAATATGTTGCCAATTAAGAAATCAAGTATCTTGATAATGTCAGTTTCAAAGAATTGTGGTTTGAGTCAGAGTGATTTTTGAAAGTACGATTTATCCCTCCATTAGACAAGATACTTGTATCTACGTTGGCCTTTCTTTTTATGAGACAAAGCAGGACCAGCTCTTTCAATTTGTCTTTTAGTTTGGAATGGGTTAGTTTTGAAAAGTCTGTGACTGGCAATATCCAAGATCAATCTGATTAAAATTCAGACCTATATTAACTCGCCTGCTCGTACGAATAAGGAGGATAACGAAATCAGAAGTCTATATTTTAATTAGATTGATCCAAGATGATAGCTGTAAGTTTGTATTGGTTTGAATGGGGGTTTGTAACAGTGGTTTCCAAACATAAGTTGTACAGAAAATGAAGTTTTGAAAGGGGTAATGAATAAAGCTTCGTGCGAATGTGATGAATATCTAAAGGCTTTTCAAAAGTTTTGTATGAATGGCAGCAGGTCATTAAAAGAGACATCATGGAGAGTAGGTGATGTATGATGACGATGACGATGACTGCATCTACGCCGAGGAGTAGAGTTGAAAATGTTCATCACATTCACAGAGCTACGTGAAGGAGTGGATGATGCAGTAGAATGTGTCATCGGTGTATTCTTCCTATTATTTTCTGCTTATATATTTTAATTGAAAGATGTTTGTTTGCTTAACGTACAGTGGCGTGCGTTTATAAAGCATATTCAGAACGAAAAGAGATTAACAATAAATCCAATTGGTAGTTTCTGCAAAGTGAATCGACCAGGATGTAGGGTGGGAATTTCGAGACTGTCTTAAGAAACTGTTGGATATGAGCAGAAATTTTGCCTTGGAGAAGCAAAATACGGACCCCTTAAAGAGTTGTCACAAGGGTTCTTTATCGTACAGAGAGCGTGGCTTGAATACTTCACCAGAGGCATGATGTTTCTTATCCACATTCCGACCTGACTTTATTGTGTTATTATACATCGCTTATAGCCAAACCGACGCCCCCTCTTTACTGTCGAATAAAGAAAGTCCAGGGGTGAACCCATTTCTATACGCCAGTGAACTCATGGGGAAATTTGCCATTTATGAAATATTTGCCACGGTCCATGAGTATGAAGAAAACTTGATTAGTAGTTTCCTATATTTCAACTAGACACCGCCCTAACGACACAATAAAAACTTTATCTGAAACAAAACACATGTACGATCATTTAAAATATAAACACTCTTTTAGACACAAGCTCTAAAGGACTCTAAATTCTAACCGTTGAGAAACTGACAAAGATTCGTCAACATGATCATCACATTCATCTAAAGTTAAAACATATAACGTATATAAATTAGTTACAAACTAGGTCTAAGTAAAACAAAACGATGTAATAGAAAAACAAAATGAAATGAAGGTCCGAGTTTGTTACAGGCCGAGATTTTAAGGCCGAGTTTTCCTGCATCGAAAATAATGTATGTGTGACGTCATCGTCGGGTGAGAATTTCAGGCATCCAATATCTTGGCCAATCAAAAGAACAAGTTTATTGATATTTTTGCAAATTAACAGCACAATTCAGGTAATTTCAACAATATTAACTGCAGGTTAAGCAATATTATAGTAAAATGCAATCAAATACTGAGACTAAACGCATTCAAAAGCAAAATCAGACAAGGAAATATATAAACCGCATGTCTGAAAATGGCGTCTCATAATGTCTCACTTAAAAAGAACATGCTAATAAGACATCCAGGCACTACTTACTACATGTTTAAAACATTTCCGTGTACTTGAAAATGAAAACAATATCCAAAATAACTGTTTATATTAATCGATCAAAGCCGAAACCAAATGAGCACAGTAGTCGGAAGTGAAAAAATTAGCAACTCAAAACCGGTATAAATGTCAACAAGATTAACATGACTGGGGACAACCATGTAAAATTTCAAAACATTAAATATGAAACGGTCAAGATGGATGTTCTGATTAAAACAAAAGAAAGCAAAAAATAGTAGATAGTCCCAAATTTAGGCAATTTTATGATCCCAAGATGATTAAAATTGATTCAGATCATTCAGCGAGCAAGAGTAATTTTACACTGAAGAAGAGTCCAGCTCTGTACTGAAAGAAGAAGAAGAGTTTAAAATAATTGAGCGACAAGTTCTAATGACTGCATGCAAAAGTAAAGCAACAGTCCAAATTTCGAAAAACCGATGTGCAAAATTTACAAAAAGAAAACATTACCATGAGGCCAAGAAAAAAAAATCTGTGTTTCCGGTAACCTGACCGACCCTGTTTTTTTAGCCCCAACCCTAATTTTTTTATTGGATCTTCAAAAAAAATGGTATCAACCGACCCTGTTTTTGACACAGGCTTCTATTAATCGACATAATTATTTATCTAACTTGCTTCTACTGGCACAGAAAGCCAGTAAAACATTTTATTTATGTCAAAAGGTATTCCAAATAGGTTAAAAACCAAGAAATTTGTACAGCAGGTGCTTCAAAAACATTGCAAATGGCCGCACTTCCGGTATTATTAACTAATTACGGACCCGGACTTGGAAAAACCATGATAATTTTCCGGATTTCGTTTAAAATGTCAAAAAAAAAAAAAAAAAAAAAAAAAATCCGACCTACCGACCCTATTTTTCAAAATGATGTTACCGGAAACACAGATTTTTTTTTTTTTAGGCCTGATTACAGGCAGCAAGCCCCATACATGTGTAGCTGTCCGTTATCAAATGGTTATAGAAAAGAAGTCAAAGGAAATGTTATGTGGGGGCAAATAATTTTTTATTTGAAATTAAGAAAATCTAGTGAGTTTACTCTTCTATCATGTCTATAGTATTTGGGCTGACTTTACACATGAAAAATTCCAAATCACAGCAAACTCAATTTTGAAATCCAGATTTTTTTCTGGAAACGTGTCTTGATCTGCGTCTTGTCTCTTATACTGGAACCAGTGCAGAAACTCTCTCCACATTTGTTTGCCTCAGTTTGACTATCTTACTCAGCACTCTTGTTTGTTTTGATTATCATGATTATAAAGCCAAATAAAAATCTCGTGGTTCCAATGTCCTGACCAACCCTATTTAAACACACCCCCCTCAAACCCTAGCATTTTTATTCCCTTCTGATAAGGTTAAGAATAGGGACACACTACTTTCAACTTTTATAGAACTTTGCAACCAAGTTTTTCAACGTTTTTTCATGATTTCTTATGTGGCGCCACCCCTCGCCAATTCATACATGTAATAATTTGGTTGAACAGTAAAGGATATGGTATGTAAAGAATATTTCAGCAAAAACGTGTGTGGGTGAGGGGGGCTGCCACTGTTAATTTTTCAGAAAACTGTCATAAATTTTGTCAAATTAAGCAAAAAATCATATTTTAACCCTTACCATGCGGTGCCCGTCATATTACAGGATTACCCAAACTACTGTTATTTGGCTCCAATGGCTCTCCATACTTTTAGAGGTCAACTTTATGACATTAATTTCGAAGTTTATGCATGTTTCATCGACCTGAGGCTATTTATTGTCATGTTTCTCATGTTTAACATGCATTTTCAGCTAAAATACGAATTTTTTTTCTGGAGGGGTGGGCTTCCCTTCGGTGTCAGACACACGCAGTTCAGAGGCGTAAAACTTTAAAAATTAGTGTAAACCTGCAGAAATATAACTACTGATCATGTTTATTATTGAATCCACTTAGTGAACGACTACTTCCGGTTGTAAGTCCAGTTGAAGCCAAAAATCAGGAAAAAACAAGAAATTCTGGATTTTTGGTGCAAATGACTTTCTTTAGACTGCTGAACCAATAACAGTTTGACTCTGACCTAGGCTTTGTTGTGATTTATGTGTTCACTGGGGTATAGACTACAGTAAGATACATCTATCAGCATCCCTCGGTCTTCCTGGTCAAGAAATAGGACGAAAAATCGTCAAAATTAATGTTTTTTGCCCCCAATGACCAACTTTGGGGCTAATTCCCACCTCCTCACCCCAAACACCCCACCCTGTGATCCCCTATCTTAGATTTAAAGGAATCAATATGCATCAGCAGCAGGGTAAAGCTCATTTGCATGTAATTTGCATATTTTTGCAAATAAATGAAATTGGACATTTTCTGAAAACAATTCAGCATGGTAAGTGTTAATGAACACATCACTAATGACGCTATTGATGAAAATCTTACTGAAACAATTGATTATTTTAGCATACATGTTTGTTTAAATCGATTTTTCACAACATTATGGCACATAAAGTTTATACCATTTTTAGGACCAAAATTAAGCGTTGTGGAATTAATTAATGAATGTAGTAATCTTGCAAACATATCCATGATCAGTATTCACACAGTCATGTTATAATTTGTTGACAAACATGCTTTTTGGTGGGAAAAAATGAAAGAAACCCTATTCAAAAATTTTATCTGTTTTTTTATAGACATTAAATTGTTTCAAACACTGGAGATAGAGTGTCTTTAATATTTAAATGAAGAATAATTACTATCTGGGTAAAAGAGTGAAACCAGTATCATTAAGAATCATACCCTATTATATCGTATTTTAAAGTTGAACAACAAAAATCCCAACCTACCGACCCTTTTTACTATTTTTATGAAACTGGAACCACATAGATATTTTTATTTGGCCTTGGGTATGATGATATGAAAAGCAGAGTGAATAGTAGATGAATTGGAATTAATAAAACTATTATGACTTCGTTGTGGTCACCTGCTTAAGCATGTTAATTATCAAAATGAACATATATTCCATACAATATGACGATAAAAGGATTTATATAAGTGTATGAAAAAAATCTGATTTATTGCCATACAAATTTCCCAATCTGTTGGATAGGAACCCAGGGCTCGACAATAACGCTTGTCCGATTGTCCAGTCCCAGAGCAAAAAAAGGTCGGACAAGTAAAAACCATATCAAGCTTGTCCGACGGGACAAGTTAAATCATTCTGTAGAAAATAAATGCAATCAAACTTTGATGATCAAAGTAATAAACAAAAAACAAGATAAAAACAAATATTAATTTGACATGTTTACTTGCGATCGATAATTCAAAACTGGTTCTTTGTCAGATACTTTATAACAGTTAAAACCATACTATTCTCAAAAACCAGTCAACCAGTGAAGTGCTTTTGGTAACAAGACAGTTCGGCACCGGCACGGAAACGAATTGGCTCCATGTTTGACAGTTCTGTTCCACCATAGGAGACCACCATAGGAGACATTTCGGGACCAAGACAAACCAGTACCTGTTTCCCTACCTTATTCTGTTGCTTTATAATAAATATGAAAAAATTTTTCAACAAAAAATATTTTTAAAATAAAAATGAAGAAACTATTGACCATATGTAGACAAAACAATACTTGATTGCATTTGAATAAGGCGGTGGCTATTTTTACCTGCTCCGGCAAATTAGCCTCCTTGATGCTATTTTGCCGGCTCCGGCAAAATAGCGATCTATGTAGAGTTTTGCTATTTTGCCATTCTAATCTCAGATTTTTGATCAGACTATATGAAATAAAAATTTTATTGAAATTATTTATACACAAATCGGATATTTTGGAGCATTTTTCAAAAAGCGTCTAAACAGACTGACGTGATTATATTAGAATGGTTTGTGGGAAAAGAAATAGCAAAGTCAGCTGTTGATGACGATCTGGTGATAGATGATGAACACTAGAAACTCCCCTGAAATGGTTTCAAGTTCATGTCTAGACAAACTAGTTAATATAAGATTAATAAAGAAATATTGAACAGAAGATTCATGGAAATCTATCGACAGCATTTATTGTATGAAAGTTGAATTGAATTTATATATCTGCAATTTTTGCAAAAGTGATGCAGACGCAAAATATACAAGTGTTATGTGCAGTTCATGTCTGCAGTGGCAGCATCTTTCTTGTGCATTACTAAAGAATGCACCAAAAGCAAGGCACTGGTTTCGTAACACTTGTAAAATATTTTGAGATGGTTGAATGTTACTTTTAATTTCAAAACTAATAGGATATTTTTATTTAAAGTTTTAATTAGAATGTTGATTTTTTTACATGGGTTTGCATGCTTTGTTTAATGTGTATTACATATATCTTTTTAAATATCAATTTTAATATTTATGCTTTGTTAAAGTGTTTTAAAAAATACATTCTTTTTAGAGACTTCTTATTAAGTTTTGATATGTCGTTTTGTATAAATGTTTTGAAGAAGACATATTTGTTTAGAGATATTCTTATTAAAGTGTATTTTTCTATATTTTTTTCTTTTCTTAACTTATATACATGATATACTGGAAATCTTAATTTAGACTGGCAAAATAGCAAAACTCTATAAAGATCGCTATTTTGCCAGAGCCTTCAAAATAGCGCCAAGGAGCCTATTTTGCTGGAGCCGGCAAAATAGCCACTGCCGTTGAATAAACATTTTAATATATTGAAACAAAGCTAATTTTAGTAAGTCATTAATCATAATAATCAATACTTTATCAACATAAAAGACCAGGATATAAACCAAATGAGTGTCAGTCTGAGTATAGACTGAAAGTATCAAAATAATGAGATGTGGTATGATTGCCAATGAGACAACTATCCACCAAAGTTCAAAAGAATTGGATGTAAGCAATAAAATTGTCTATCAAATTAAGACTTACACCATTTTTTTTTAATTGATGAACCATCAGGTGATTTCTTTTTCAAATAATATCTAAAAATTGGCTTTTTGTCTGTTATTACAGTAGATAAATTACTTAAAAAACAGAAGATTAAGGAAAAGGCCAGCAATAAATTCACTGATCATGGCTTCTGCTTTGGACTTTGTCAAGTGCAAATGACAGGCCTACCAGACTGTGCCTCATGTGCAGAGTCTGATGAAACACTGGCATTGATGAAAACTATAACCTAAGTCCTGTAACATGACTAAATTCAGTTGTTCTCGACTCATATTTTTGAAAAGGATATGAAGAGATATAAATCAAATTCTGTTTTATTGTTTTAATTCATTTTGTTCATTGAATCAAATTAAAATGCAAAAAAAGTAAAGATTTTTTTTTGGACAAGTTACAATTCCATTCGGACAAGTAAGTTTTGGTATGTACTTGTCCTATTGGGCAAGTTGAAAAAAGAGTTATTGTAGAGGCCTGGAACCCATTTGAAAAGGGTTAAAAGCAACCCTGTTTGATTTGAAGGCAAACTTAAATACTGTTACGTACATTGTATTTATTTTAGTAATTGTGCATATTTTATATTTATAATGCAATTAACAATTCTGATACTGACATCTTCCTTTGATTTGGAAGTTTGCAAAGTGTAAAATAACACACTTGAATAATCAAGAGAAGGGGGTATAACAGTTAAAGAGACAATACTTTTCATTTATTTTTCATTCTTCCCAAAATATTTTTTTTACTACATATATAAATTATTGGTAACTTCCAATGAATAAAAAAATTAACCCCTCTAAAAAAAAAACTGAAAAAAAGTATCAAAACAATATGAGAGTTACCAAAATCTAACCATTGGAACTAAATGATTAAATTGATTTGTTCCACTGAAGCAACAGAAGATTTACATATATATTTACTTTGTAGGTAGCCTGCTAAGATGGCTCACTTTGTGTACCCTGCTGGCAATCCCCAACCAACAGCAGCATACCCTACTGTTCAGACTGCCTATGTAGCAGCTGCACCTCAGGCTGCTTATGCAGCAGCTGCTGCACCAAGAGCTGCAGGTGGATATGAAGGATACCAGACTACACCTGCTGCACCACAGTATGCATATACTACACGTACACAAGTTGCCGTTACTGTAAGTAAATACTAGATTTTTTGTGTAATAACAACTCATATCTCAACATCTTTTAGACAATTAGATGGTACTTATAACTACATTTGCATTTGTTACTGAATGTATAACTTAAAGAAAAAGGTGAAAAAGCACTGTGCATATTAAATCAGCTATTTGCCTTGCATGGTTTTACATCTCCTTCAGCTAGTATGAAAACCACACAAATTTCAAAAGTCCAATGATTGTACTTAAATGGAAAATGGAAAAAAAATAGGTTGTCAGCTCAACTCTTGTTTGCTGATTTTCCTGTAGTAATTTTAAGTTTTCTACGCGGACTTAGTCCTCCACTTCATATATGTATGACCCCTTCCCCACTCGGTAGTCTGGTAGCATGCTCGACTCAAGTGTAGGAGGTCATGAGTTTGAACCAAAGACTTGAAAATTTATATTTGCTGAATCTCTGATAAGCACACTACATTTAGTAGTATGAACAAAGACTTGTCGGCTCCAAGTCAGAATAATGTTTCCAGGTAGGGTGACATGCATGTCTTCCTGCAGACTGTTACGTTGTGAACTAGCATGTTAAAAAATTCAGCTCACTGTGTTAGTCTAGTACAAAGCAGGGTTTATATTCATATTACAAAATGTATGTTATCATGTTCTCGTCCTGAATATGATTTAATTAGCCACTGGACGTTATACAGCCATTCATCTCCATCATATATATATATGTAGAACAAAGACATAATATTGTAGAGATTTTTGTGAGAGAAAAGAAAATCACATTTGATGATGTTAATTTCTATTGACAGCCTGCAGGAACATATGATCAAAAAGCATATTATCAACCAGCTCAAGCAGCTGTATCATACAGTGGTGCTGAAACCCATTATCAGCCAGGTAAGGATGATGTTTCACATGAAATTTGCTTTTTATGCCACCGCCGAAGCAGAGGGATTATTAAGTTTTACCCTTGTCTGTCCATGGTAAGTCCATACGTCCCAAAATTGGTTTCCGTTCTCTAACTTAAGTTTGCCTCAACCAAATGTTATCAAACTTGTACACAATGTTTATTACCACAAAACAAAGATCAAGTTTGAATTTTGGTGGCGTCACTTTAACTGTTCTAGATTTATACCCCTTTATAAATGGAATAAAATGCTCCGCTGGGGCGCAGCTTGATACGACCGCAGAGGTCGAACCCTGAACAGTTGGGGCAAGTATGGACACAACATTCAAGCTTGATACAGCACTGAATTTGGATTGTAATTAAATATTTGACACAGCATAGGTTTCTCACACAGAATGAAAGTGGTCTAAGAACTTAAGAAATTTTAATTTACCTATTCAAACCATATCATTATTATTTGCTTTTATATATAAATCAGAAATAACCAATTTAAAATGGAAAATTTTTAAGAAAAAAAAGGAAAAAAAAATCCCCCCCAATTTTTTGAACCGCCTTATGATTCATCACCCCCAAACTCAATCCCACCTTTCCCTTTGTGGTATGGTACCTTGCAGTACAATTTCAGAGAGATCCATAAACTTGAACACAAGTTATTGTATGGAAACTAGAAAAATGCTTGTTTTTTGGCCCCAAATTCCTAAACGTTTAGGGCAATGACCCCCAAACTCAAACCCAGCTTTCCCTTTGTGATATGAAACCTTGCAGTACAATTTCATAAAGATCCATACACTTACACACAAGTTATTGTCCTGAAACTAGAAAATGCTTGTTTTTTTTTGCCCTTTTATGGCCCCTAATTACAAAAATTTTGAGGGAATTACCCCCAAAATCAATCCCAGCCTTCCCTTTGTGGTATGGTACCTTGCAGTACAATTTCAGAGAGATCCATACATTTGAACACATGTTATTGTCTGAAAACTAGAAAAATGCTTATTTTTGGCCCCTTTTTGGCCCCTTATTCCTAATCTTTTTGGGCAATTACCCCAAACTCAATTCCAGCTTTCCCTTTGTGATATGGAACCTTGTACAATTTCATAAAGATCCATACACTTGCACACAAGTTATAGTCATGAAATAGAAAAATGCTTGTTTTTTTCCCCTTTTTGGCCCCTAATTCCTAAAATTTGGAGGCAATTACCCTCAAAATCAATCCCAGCATTCCCTTTGTGACCTAGAACCTTGTGATACAATGTCAGAGAGATCCATACACTTACACACAAGTAATTGTCATGAAACTAGAAAAAATGCTTCTTTTTGGCCCCTAATTCCTAAAATTTGGAGGCAATTACCCCCAAAATCAATCCCAGCATTCCCTTTGTGATATGGAACCTTGTGGTACAATGTCAGAGAGATCCATACACTTACACACAAGTTATGTCTGGAAGTTTCAAAAATGCTTATTTTTGGCCCCTAATTCCTTAACTGTGGTTACCATAACCCCCAATCAATCCCCACCTTCCTTTTGTGGTATTGAACCTTATGGTAAAATTTCATTGAGATCCATTCACTTAAACTAAAGTTAGAGTGCGAAAACTAATGTGTCTTCGGACGACGACACGTCATACCAATATACGACCACAAAAATTTATTTGCGGTCGTATAAAAATTGCAAAATTTTTCATTTCCCTTCTCTAACTTAAGTTTGCCTCAACCAAATGTTATGAAACTTATACACAATGCTTATTTCCACAATACACAGATCAAGTTTGAATTTTGGTGGCGTCACTTTTACTGTTCTAGAGTTATACCCCTTTACAAATGGAAAAATTGCTAAATTTTTTATTTTTTGAACAATGATGTCATTGTTCAAGTAATTTTTAAAATTGGAGTTATCTTCCTTTGTCCATGATTATATTTGAATCAACTACAATCAATGTTTTATACAATGCAATATTTAATTTTGCCTTCTGCTGATAAAACACAGATCAAGTTGAATTTAGGTAGTGTCACTTTAACCATTATTGAGTTATGCCCCTTTATAAATTGAAAAATTGCAAAATTTTTAGTTTCCGTTCTGTAACTTAAGTTTGCCCCAACCAAACATGAAACCTATACACAATACTTATTACCGCAAAACTAAGATCAAGTACAAATTTGGGTAGAGTCACTTTTATTGTTCTTGAGTTATGTCCCTTTATTATGTTGTATGCAAGAGGGGGCATCATCTGTGTCCATGGGGACACATTCTCCATTTATTTCTGATTGATATTAAGTAAATAGAATGCAAAGGTAATAGTTTGCAGATGAGTCAGTTACATTTTAAATTAAAAAGAACAAAATGTTTATGAACTTTTTTGGCTATTTCTGACGTCATCAAAAAAATGCTAATACTTAAATTTTTAACAAATATTTAGTCATTATTTAAGTATGATTCATTGTGATATTTGTCAATAAATCTTAATATGAAATTTTAGCTAGAAATAAGGGCCATATTAGGGCCTTATCTAACCTATTCCTTTCATATTGTTATTGCAGTCAATTTTTTGACACAAAAACTGTATATTGTGTAAAACATAAAAAATTTTGTTGACTTGTATGATAACACCACCCCCAATTTTTTTTAATTAGTTCATGTTCAAGCAGCTGCCAAGCCAGTGTATTCAACAAATACAACAAATTATGCCACACCCAGAGTTGTAGCACAGCAAAAAGTACAGGCACCAATCCAGGCTTCTAGTGCTGCAACCTATGTATATCCAACAGCCGTTACTACTCCTCAGGTGTCATCATACTCAACAACTTATGCTGGTAACACAAATGCTACAACCACAGTATCTTATACAAGCAAGGGTAAGGACAACAGGAAAGAAGTTTTAGTATTGTTACATACATATAATATTGAATTATATTTTGATATTATATTATTATATTATAACATATATATCTAAATCATTGTAAGATGGAACATTGAATTCCTGATCATCCTTCCTCTACAACTCCTATATCTTGGAACTGAATTCTGCCATCTGATATTTTTCCTTTTACATCCCAAGCTTGTGTACAGATATCTTGAAACAAGTTCCATTCTTGTTGTAACTGTCAATGTCATTTAGTTGTGTTTAACAATACATTTCTTGAACAAGTTTTTGAAAGATTATACTTTGACAAAGTATGTTAAATCCTCTGACTTACTAAAATTGAATTACTTGTTCATTTTTGTTTCTCTGACATCTCCCTTTCCACATTAGAAGTACTATTTCTATTCATTTTGATATCCTAACAACATGTATAAATAAGTCTTTATTTAATTAAAAAAAATCCTCTAGCATTCTGCATCATGTACAATGTACTTTTCCATTTAAACAGGTGTCGACTAAACACTGATTGTGTTTCTCTTTTGAACATAATTTGATTTTACAGGTTTGGCTAACAAAAAATAGTCAACTGCAATAAACTTTATAGAGGTGTCCAGGTTTTTAGGAGTTTCATGTGATGCATGAATCAGTTGAAACACAATACTCATTTATGGTCTTCAATAATAATAAAAAAAGTCATGTGAAGATTTTACACCATTGATTAAATTTTGATCTGGGAGAAATATAAAAAAAATCACTTTACTTTCACACAAAAAAGCTAAAGTTGACACTAGATGTAAAAATGTAAACTTTGTTTGTTGTTAAAATTGTTTGTATACAAACAAAAATAAGCACTGTAGATTTTTTTTAATTATTTCTACTGCTGAATACATATTAACTGAGGGCTGTTCCAAAGATAAATGCTTGTGTGTACGGTCAGCTGTGGTCGGAAGGCACTTTTTATTTAACCCTCCATTCAGAAAATTTTAATTTATTATTATGATTTTTCATGCTATCGTTCTAAAATAATCACTGCCCATCAACTTTTGATAGAAGTGCCTTCCAACCCCCTTGTACAATCAATTCATGGACAGTCCTAAGTAAATGCAGGTTATAAACATTTAACTGATAAAAATATGTACACTGGATGCAATCCACGAAGTCTAGGATTAAATGAAGTTGATAATTGCTTATGCATTAAGTATTCAAAATTTTCAGTAGAACAGGCCTATTTGTAAACAAAATTTGACAATTGTTTGTTTAAATTAGGAACACTCAAAAACTGTTTAATTCTAGACATGTTTCACTTGTGATAAACATGATTTCACAATTAGTCAAGAATTTATTATACAAAAAAATATTTCTTGATCAATTAGAACAGGCTTTTTTAATTTGAATGAATGATTAAAGTTCAAAATAAATCTGACAATTCCATCAAGTTTAGTTGTTTTAATGTAAGATACATGTACTATTTACTGGTTTATTAATTATGAAATCATGTAGTGCTTATGGAGTTTGTTTCATATTACCACTTTATGTGCAGTTATGTGTGATATTTGTGAGTTTAGCAAGACAATGCTTTTGCAGTAGAACTGTTTGTTGAATTAATAAATCAGCCAAACTTTAAAATTACATTTGACAAAATTCCATTTCAAACAATGTACGCATTGTTCCATCAAACTGATTAGTTGCATTTTAAGAAAGAATATGTTTAGTTTTATAGTTGACTCTTCTGAAAAATGAATATGACTTTATCTTACAATGGAAACCCTGATGTATTTTTGTATGCCCACTTCTTATAACACAAAAGACTATGCAATATTAAGGGAGATCAAAGGGATTGACTTCTTTTCATACAGGAAGTGAAATCTCAGCCTAGTAGATTTTGGAAGTGTTATGAATGAAGCATATTTATCTTTGTCTGTATTAGGGCTATTCCATTAAAATGTATGTGGGAGGGTAGGAAGGGACTTCCAAAATATCCCTACAACCAAGAACCATTTTTTAGATAATTTTGCATAATGGTAATAGACGCATACTGAAAAAAGACCCATGACATACATTCAATAATTAAACTTCCCTTCCTACCCTCCCACATACATTTTAATAGAATAACCCGGGCCCCCTAGATAACAAAAAAGATTCTAGAAAAAAAGAACACACTAATCAGTTCGGTGTAGCAGTATGTCTTCATTGATGGGTTAATGCATTAAATATTCATGGGAAGATGCTTTATCATTTGTATATATGTAGCTAATGTTTTTAGATAACCAAGCTTTGAATTATATTTAGATTTATGAAATGTGAGAAAAACATTGATTTGCATGAATAGAAGTGTATGTTTTTACATTGAAATTGCAAATGTGACATGTGATTCCATTGTAAAAATGTATACTTTGAATTTCATATAGGATTATTATCTGTTATGCTTGTTGAATCAGTAAATTAGAGATTGAAATGTAATTGATAATTTGATAGTTTACAGTAGAGGCATCAAACTGTAAATCTGGCATATTTACAAGTAAACAATGATCATAGATTCATACTTATTATCAAAGTCAAGTTTTTTTACTCTATACTATTTTGAAAAACAATGATGTTGGATATTCGACTAGATGCTTGTTTCTTATTTAGGCTTTAGCCACTTATGTATCAACATATATGCATTTTAATTACCTAAACAGAATTTATTCATTTACTTGTATGTCAATTATGCATCAACAGAATATCCATAAAAGATGATAAAAGACAACAAATTTTGGTTTATACTTTTAAAGTATTTCAAAAATATGTTTTTGAGAATGCATTGATTCAGAACAAGTTTATCAATTTAGGAAATCACAGCTTGGTTAGGAGATTGGTTTGGCTAACTTTCTAACCCTTGATGTTCACATTTCAGCCCCACAAGGCGTGTCCAACTACACCACCATAAAACAAACAGTACAACCAGTGGTCATAAAAGGTAGGTTATGTCTATGCCAGTTATGTCATCAAGTATTTCCAAGAAGACATAAATTTGTCGTATTTAGCTTGTAAATTTTAGATTGAAAGTATAAAAGAAAAGTTTTTTTGATACAATAGTTGAATTCCTGAAGTTTTCCATGTGTATTGAAATGGTCCTATATTGAGATCTGAAGTTTGTTGAATTCCATGAAAATGTATTTTAACAATTGTTATTTGAAAGAAAGAACATACAGTTCTGAGAAATATTAAAAATTAAAAAGAGGTTCAATTTGAAAGAAATTTGAACAAGCTGAATATTTTAATAGTGTAGTTAACATACATGAGTGGCATAGGCTGAACTGAACAGAATGAAGTATTCTATATAGATAATTTTTGATGACCACATGTGAAATTTGTGCTTTATATTGAATTGGTCATAACAACTTTGTCATGTTGTTTGAGAAGTGGTAGTGTTTCATGCTTTTGTATTTATTTTCTGACATTTCATTATCAGTGTTATAGTTTGCTATGTTAGATTTCATTTAAAATGTTGAAGAAGAAGCACTCACAAATTTTGCATGTTGTTTTTTTGTGTGTATGCTTTTTGACACTGTTTGATAGCAAAATATACCTGGTAAAAGAATCAAGCTATTCATATTCATTTGAATGTTTGATATTCCTTAAAAAACTACCCATACAGCCGAGATGTTTTTTTATGCCCCCGTCGTAGCTAATTACCACAAAACACAGATCAAGTTCGATTTTTGGGTTGCATCACTTTTACTGTTCTTGAGTTATTTGCATTTATAACGTTATATGCAAGCGGGGGCATCATCTGTGTCCCTTGGACACATTCTCCATTTATTTTTAAATTAAATTTATGAAAATGTGATTTTGAGATGATAACAAGTACCCAGCAAATATGTTGGTGAAAAAATCCTCTAAAGAGTTATCTACATGTATCTTCCTTCTGTTAAATATCTATCAATTGAAATAATTCATTGGCAAGTTTTTAAAAAAAAATCTTGTCTTGACTTTTATAGTTAGTGTCAAACATTGATAAGAATAAAAGGAAAAATTGTGCCGACATTTGAATAAAGCACAGACTTTTATCAACTACTTGGTTCATTGCTTAGTGAATTTCAAGACATTGACGAAAGTTGCTAGGAAGTAGGCTATAATTTGTGACAAGTTACCAAACCCACAATTAAATATGAATTGGCCTACAATTCTTTAATGCTTCGCTTGTATCTTTTTTATTTTTATTTTTTTTCAAAATACTTGTATGATATAACTTGTAGTCTTGATACTTTGGTGATTTGTGTAGAGCAAAAATGACGAAAAGATTGTGCTTTATGTTTCAATTATATGACCAAAAAACTTTTTGATACTTCATATTTGGGTTGTTCTTTTTTCATTATCGCAGTCTTCTTGTTATATTCTATAATGACCAAAAAAAAAAGTTAACCTCATCATATTAAATTGAGATGTCACAATAAACTGAGTTACACTAAATAGTACTGTGCATTGCTGTACATCCAGCAAATTGTTCCACAATACAATTTTAAATATTCTGAACAACAATATGTTCTAAGATTTGTGTTTTCTGAAATTTTTTACCTTATTTATGAATTCTTAAAAGTATAAATCTCTATATTATGACAATCTTAATTTCCTTGAGAAGTCCTGTAACTTCTTACTATGTACATAATGAGTGTACAAAATCCATCCATCATGTGTATATATCAGTGTTACCATGGTGTAAACAATCCTTGAATCCAGTATTGTACATGATAAAATAGTTAAATTAAAAAAGATTGCAGGCCAATATTTGACTGGAGAATAAAGAGTCACACATGTATTTTGTTTAATTTAAGATTTCATGTTATATTATGAAAAATAAATTACATATAATTTGTCATTAGTACACAAGATTGTTTTATATAGGCATTGTGTACAGAGTATTATTTTATATATGTATTGTGTGCAGAGAATTATTTTTGACTTTGTATTTTATATTTCTGTACAGGTTATGATGCTGCTTTATACTCGGCAGCTACATCTTATTACCAACAGCAACAGGCTGCCAAGGTTAAAGTTGGTGTGAAAACAAAGACCAAAATGCCACCTAAACAACCACAGCTACATTACTGTGATGTTTGTAAAATTAGCTGTGCAGGACCACAGGTATAAAACTGTTTATAAATTCTTTATATTATTATAAAAAAAACTAAAAAGTAAAAGGTCAAAGGGAAGTAACTCTTAAATTTAAATGCAATTCTTCCAATTGATGACTGGAGAATAAAGAGATCACACATGTAATTTGTTTAATTTAAGATTTCATGTTATATAATGAAAAATAAATTACATATAATTTGTCATTAGTACACAAGATTGTTTTATATAGGCATTGTGTACAGAGTATTATTTTATATATGTATTGTGTGCAGAGAATTATTTTATTTACTTGTCATTGTGTAACAAAATGGGAAAACAATGATTATACTAGTTGATTTACAGTGGTAAATGTGGAATAGCATACACTTATTGACTACAACATTAATTGCAAAAACAAAATTTGAATGAGGTGTAAATAAATTTTAAAAAAGGGATTTTAATTGAGTTTTAGATTTTTCTTTCTCATCATTGTTTGAAATGTGTCAAATGAAAAATATGGATAAGTAAGAAAGGTAGAATTTAATCTTATGTGAAGTTACAAGTTTTAATTGTCCTACAGACTTACAGAGAACATTTGGAAGGACAAAAACACAAGAAAAAGGAGGCTGCTATGAAAAGCCAAACTGGAACTACAACTTCTTCATCATCAACCCCTCGTGGTCAGAATCAGCTGAGATGTGAGCTGTGTGATGTAACATGTACAGGAGCAGATGCTTATGCTGCTCATATCAGAGGAGCTAAACATCAAAAGGTAGTATTACAATTTCAAAGCTTCCTGATCAGATTGATTTTTTTTTTTATTATTTAAAGTAAATACAGGAAGCATCAATATGAGGGGAATACATTTTTATCAAAACAACTGAAAATTTTTCTGTTTAGACACATTTTAAAGGCCATGTCCCTTCAAACATAAGTTTTATATTTAAATCTTCTTTTGTATTTAGTAGGGATGTCAACTTGTTGAAGAATTCTGATCTAGTACTGGTTGGTTATACTCACTCAAATATCTACAAAATGGGGATACAATTTAGAAAATTTTACACTCTGTGCATTGGTCATTGTCTTATGGAGGTTAAACACACTACATCATAAATAGTCCCAAGAATTATATTACATAGTTAATAGCTCATTTACTACATGTACTAATTAGTAAACAATAATCTATTCAATAATTTAATAAACTATTGAATATAAAAGATTACAAAGTCAAACAAGATACATTTTGTAACGGTAAAAAAAACACATTTACAAAGGTAAACATGTAATGATAAGAAGTCACTGATGTGTTCAGCCTTTCACTGAGGATCACGACAGGATGCAAAGAATTTGTTGTTATTAAGATGTTTTATTTTCTGAATTTTATTAGGTTAGAGTCAGTTTCCCAGCTCTCTAACTAATGGCCATGAAGAGGAAAATATTTTCTGACAGTATCGATGTGGCAGGAATGGTTAAGACACATTTAGTTAAAAGTGCCTGCCTATGCAGACTGCTTTCGTGTGTGGCCTACCTCTTTTAATGATATATCTCTGCACTTTGTTAATATTGACTAAAGGAAGATTTAGGGACATTTTGAATGTTAATTATGCACGTCCATACGAAAGCTATTTTAACTATGATTAATCCCTTATTACTGTTTAAATCTCTGAGGGCATTCACTAGAAAATGAATTTAATGAAAAAAAGGGACATTGCTAAACAGAAAATTGGATTAGTGGAGTATTATGTAGAATTTTGGTATTCAGTATTCAGTTTAATTACTCATTGACATCCCTGATGATAGTGTCAATTCTAAATCCATAAAACTGCAAAATCTGTACTCAAGAGAAAAAATCACTAACTGCCTTTACTATCAATATATAATATTTGTGTGGTTACAGGTTTTGAAACTTCACACAAGACTTGGAAAGCCAATTCCATCAACTAATCCGGTAGTATTATCAACAGCAACCTCCTCTACTGCCAAGGCAGGTATTTCTACCACAACAATAACAACAGGAGTGAAGCCAGGTATAAAGCCTGTTCCTGCTGTCACAGTACCAACTGTAACAAAGAAAGTTGCAGCTACTCCTAAGATTACATTTGTTGGTAAGATTTTTGCCTGTGTGTGATAGCAAATCTCCAAAATAGAAAAGTTTGGGCCATAAAACAGTCCAGAATCCATTTAGAATATGGCAATGAAGATTAGAAAAAAAGATGCAATACAATCTTAAAGTATCATGTATTGAAACATATTCTTTTGAAAATAGAATATTTACCAAATAGAATATCTAGATCACTATTGCATGGAAAGCATAGCTTCTTGAATGGTTGTATTGTCTGTAAATTTCCAGGATCTTATTTTCTCTTCTAGTCGTGTTAAGACTGAACAATTCAAATGTGGGTTTTCTATTATAACATGATTTAAACAAAAAATCAGGTTTATGCGATGTTTTTGACCTGAACTTTTGTCTTAAACAGCCACACATTTCCGGTCATAAAAGTGACATAACCAATAAGTATATAGGTAAAAAATAAAATCAGAGATAAATGCAGGTGGAAAAATCGACAGAACCACAGTGTGCACAGGTGTGAGTCTTAATTATGCATCCAATTTCTTCCAAAATACTGAAAATATCATTGATATCTTGATCTTTGTTCATTTCAATTATTTTCTTTGAAGAAATAATGTGGAAGGAACAACTTAAACTCTATTTTGCTTGATAATCGTACTAAGATTCCGTGTTTTACCATTGTCATGTCTATATCAATTATTAGGAAAATATGCTTTTTACTGTGCTTATTCAGTAAGCTTTTGGGTACTACAATAGCAATGGCTAAAACGGTTTACCAATTTGCAGTTTGAATTCTTCTCCAACAAATTGCTTCAGTTTGTTGAAGAAGAATTCAAACTGCAATTTGGTAAACTGTTTTAGCCATTGCTAATGTGATACTCCAAAGCCCACTGAATAAGCACAGTAATAACAAAAAATAAAGTTCCTAACTGCGTGTACTGCATTAATGAAGCATAAGGCAGATGTTAGTACGCTGATGTTGAACACATCAAATGATGCAATGCCAATGTGAAAGTTAACGCCAGAACATCGAATTGATATCAAAAGTCTAAAATTTAATATATTTTTCTGTCAATCATTGTTTTTACCATGATAGCTTTTTGTTTCTAAGTGTAAAGTGATTAAATACCAGATAAGAAATGTCCTGCTGGCTCAAATATTTTTTGAAGTTCAATGGAAAGGTGTATGAAATAATTCATTGCTTATTGCTGCAACTGCTGAAGAGAAGAATATAGAATTTGCAACCTATTTTCTCATTTAATATATAAAGTTACAGTGGTCAGTTTCTATATATTGTAGGAGGAACACAATTGAAAATTCTTGGAATAAAGACAGAGGAAGTAAAAGTTGAAGAACCTATGAATACATCTGCTACATCTGAAGGTTTGATTTTGTTTTCTGTTTTAAGTTTAATTTCTCTCACAAAAATTACTAATTTACACCACATGGAGCTTACAACTTTTTATTCTGTTATCCACTGATTGTCATTTCAAGTGTAAAATACCCTTTTTGAACTATTGATAAATAAAGGGGGGTTAAGAATTGTATAAATAGTAAGACTAAGTAAAAAAAAAATGATTATATACAAATTTGAATGAGAAATTATGATATATTAAATTCTATTGTTTTAATAAGAAAAAAAGGAATCAAATGAAGTTGGATAAACTCTACTGGAAAATTTGACTTTTTGTCCTACAGGATAGTCATAAACTGACCCTTGCACCCACACATCTGAAGCCATGAAAACTCAGTTTATTTTCCTGTCAGAAATTTTGTTAAATGCTGGATACAGGTTTTACATTTCTATCTTTGTTGACAGTATATTTCTTATGCCCCCGTTGTAGGCAACAGAGGCATTAAGTGTTACCCTTGACCATCCATCTTTCCGTTCGTCCGTCCCATTTTCGATTCCGCACTCTAACTTTAACTGGGAGACAGAGTTGGAATTTTGACAGTAAGTCAATTACTGTTCTAGAGTAATGGCCCATTATAACTTGGAATATTTCAAGATTTTTCTTTTCTGCACTCAAACTTAAGTTTGTCTCAACCGAACTTTATTAAGTCTATTTACGATCAAGAAATTATGATACACCATTAAATTTTACATTTGCAGTCATGCTTCATTGAATTTCTTTTGATATGAACGCAAAAAATCTTGCGGTCGTATATTGGTATTACGTCGTCGTCGTCCGAAGACAATTGGTTTCGGGACAATAACTTAAGTATAAGTAAATAGAAATCTATGAAATTTAAACACAAGGTTTATAACCACAAAAGGAAGGTTGGGATTGATTTTGGGGGTTATAGTCCTAACAGTTTAGGAATTAGGGGCCAAAAAGGGGCCCAAATAAGCATTTTTCTAGTTTCCAGACAATAACTTGTGGAACGGTTTATGGATCTCTCTGAAATTATACCACAAGTTTCCATACCACAAAGGGATGGTTAGGGGGTAATGGCTCAAACCATTTAGGAATTGGGGGGGAAAAAGGGGGAAAAACAAGGGTTTCCTTGTTAACGGATAATTACTTTTAAGTACAATGTTTTGTGTTTGGATTACCTCCCTTACACTGCTTTTAAATTATGTATAAAGAAATTTTGTATTGTCTTGAGATGATTAGCTGTCAATTTATTTTAAGAAGTTACTATTAAAAATGTTGATTTAGGAAAATTAATTTTAGACATGATTATGTATGTCATTTTCTTTTTAAGACTTTTATGATGTATTTAAATGGGTAATTTTGGTTGCAAATTTCGTTTGAAATTTGAATTGAGATAATGACCATATCTGGAGGGAAAGAATTTTTTTTTTTGTAAAAGGGGGGGGGGGGGGGACATTTTTTTTTTTCTCATTTCAGATTTCAGAAATTAAAAAGAAAATTTCTTCGAATACTATTTTTTTTTTATTGCACAAAAGCAACAAAAAAAATGGGGGGTGGGGGGGTATAATTCACAACAGCATAGTGTATTGCACAAAAGCAAAAAAATTTAATATAAATTCAAATCATATAACCAATTCTAAGTTCTTTGACTACAGTTATTCTGTGTCAGAAACCTATTATGTGTGAAATATTTAATTACAATCCAAATTCAGACCTGTATCAAGCGCGATTATTGTGTCCATTTTAGCCCCAACTGTTCAGGGTTGGACCTCTGCTGTTGTATCCAGCTGCTCTCGGCGAAGCAATTTATTAGTTCATATTGAGACAATTTTGTGTAAATATTGTACTCCTTGATTAAGTAAATATACATATTTACAGATGACAAAGATGATGGTCCATTGAATATTTTGGGAGAGAAAGATGTAGCTCCAGTAGGTTAGTAGTAGTACCAATGTGAAGTATCTTAAGATGTGCATAACATGAAATATTGTTCATAAACTTTGATGAATTTGTATTACATTAATCTTTTTCATAAATGTGTATGTGCATACAAACCTGTATTGTTGAAATGTGTTAATGAAAACGTTTTGATGTTTTGATTTATACAGCCTTTCTACAGGATGTAGAGTCATTTACCATTTTAGGTTTGCATACAAACTACCAATAGCTCTAAGATATTGAAGAGTGTTTTTGTTATGATTTATAAGCAAACAATTTTTAATGGAGAATAGTCTTTGAACACATAAATGTATGAGGTGTGTTGCTTTTCAAATGCAGTTGGCTGAGGATACACAAAATAGAATTTTTTTTAAATTTTATAAGTATTTTCTAGTGATGTTACAGATGAAAAGTTACGGTTTTTATACGACCGCAAAAAATAAAAATTTTTTGGTCGTATATTGGTATGATGTTGGCGTCGTCCGAAGACACATTGGTTTTCGCACTCTAACTTTAGTTTAAGTGAATGGATCTCCATGAAATTTTACCATAAGGTTCAATACCACGAAAGGAAGGTTGGGATCAGGGCTTCCAAAATTTCCTGACGACAGCCGGACATTTTTCAAAGAAATATTTTTGACGGTCAATGATCAGCTGGATACTTAAATGTAACTGAGAGGATGCATAAATTGATATATGTGTCTAAATAATTAGTAGTGTTATATGCAATAAAATTATTTATAACTGTTTTGTTTTTTTCATTCTAAAAATAAATAAAATATTATCCTCGGTATTGTGTCATTTTTCTGTGTATCGTAATACAGTAACCATCATTGCATCAATCAGCTTCAGTACCTGACTGTTCTCATGTTTTTGTTTCTGTTTATATAATCTATCTTCTCTCTGTGAGTACTTAACACTTTGTAAATTAAGGCCATCTTATTTGAAACTGTTGATGTTGGCTTTAATTGCAGTACAACTTGATCATCAATACACGTGATACTTTTCTTTTTGTGTATTGATTACCTGACCACGTGACTTTTACAACTGATGCGGTATTTATAGATAACATTGAGGAGGCCCGATGAAGGATATTGTTTTAAACCGTGTAAAATCTACTGAACAGTGATAACATTTTTCTTTGTACAATTTCCCAACCTGATTTAGAAAATAAGGAATAAATAAAAACATACTCAGTTGATAAATAATTTAATGAATAACAACATGATATTTTATGTAAGCATATAACAACAATAAAATGTCAGAAGAGCACAATGCTGACAAACACACGCAATAAATATTACAATGAGCACATTGAAAAGAAGCACAGATCACAGCACAAGATTAGAGTTCATTTAGTCTAATTAAAGATTTTACATTCATGAGCTTGCTAAATGCATTGTTCTGATAAACATGGCGGTTACGAACGGATTGCCATTTGCGGATAGCAGGAACAGGGTCAAAGTCTTTAACATCTACACCTACTAAGCTTATCATCATAAGTTGATCTAAAGCGTCAATACCTAGACTACACCTTAGTCGATCATAATTCCCACGGCGGGACTTAACTTTACGTCGGACATCACCTCTTTCTCTATAACATCGGAAATTGTCTGAATAAATTCGGAGCAGGCATTGTTCTCTTGATATAATTAAGAAGTGATCACGGCACCATTTAACTTAGTTAAATCATTTATTGACTGAAATTTGTCCATTGGTTTTTCCTATATATTTTAGTAAATTTTCCCCTTGAGAGTACCCCAGTATTTAACACGATGTACAGTGTTAAATAAAATAATATATATCATACTTATTCATTTATAAATATCCTTATTTGAAGAATAACTTTTAAATATCAGGATACTTTTAAAACTGAATGCTCATTTAAAATAATATCTATAAAGCGTAATTAAATAGGATGTTGTTCCATACACGCTTACATGTTTGACCTCGTTTACCGGATTACCTTTATGTACATTGTTATGCATCATTAATTCTATTGATAAAGATAAGCTAAGGACACCTCATCAAAGGTAACAAACCTGTAATCAGTGAATGATTTATGGCTTCAATATAACTTATTGAAGGGATAATTGTTTGACAGCTTGTTGTTATTTAAATAAAAGAAAACGTGTTTTTTCTACTTTTTATTGATGTACACAAGCTAAAGACCAAGCCGTACATTTATGTACCCAGAGGATTAGACTAACTGAGACACTTCAAAGTATCTGAAATATGCTGCTTCTGTTTTATTAAACCCAATTATGACCGAAATATCTTTGTGAAATAGATTGCCACAATTATAAACTAAAATGCCCAAACGGACATGCCCAAAGCCCCAAACGGACATTTTTATCGATCGATAGTTGGTAAAAATTGAAATGACCGTTTCATGAAAATGCCTTGAATAACAAAATGTGGCACACCAATTCTATTTGACCGTTTGAGGCTGAGAGCAGCTGGTCTTTTTATGAAAGTTTCGGTCAAGTCCGGAATATATGACCGTTTTGGAAGCCCTGGTTGGGATTGATTTTGGGGGTTATGGTACCAACAGTTAAGGAATTAGGGGCCAAAAATAAGCATTTTTGTAACTTCCAGACAATAACTTGTGTGTAAGTGTATGGATCTCTCTGACATTGTACCACAAGGTTCCATATCACAAAGGGAAGGCTGTAATTGATTTTGGGGGTAATTGCCTCAAAATTTTAGGAATTAGGGGCCAAAAAAGGGGCAAAAAACAAACATTTTTATAGTTTCATGACAATAACTTGTGTGTAAGTGTTTGGATATTTCTGAAATTGTACTACAAGGTTCCATATCACAAAGGGAAAGCTGGAATTGAGTTTGGGGGTAATTGCCCAAAACGTTTAGGAATTGGGGGCCAAAAAGGGGCCAAAAATAAGCATTTTTCTAGTTTCCAGACAATAACTTGCAAGGTACCATACCACAAAGGGAAGGCTGGGATTGAGTTTGGGGGTGATGAATCATAAGGGGATCAAAAAATTTGGGGGGGGGGGATTTTTTTTTTTCTTTTTTTTTCTTTTTTTCCTTTTTTTTTCTTTTAAAATTTTCCATTTTAAGTTGGTTATTTCTGATTTATATTTAAAAGCAAATAATAATGATATGGTAGGAGATACACACCAAACAGGATGTGTAAATTATTATATAATAAGTATTGTGCAATAGCAAGAAATTTTCAATTGCACAGTATTGCACAATAGCAAGAAATCTTCAATTGCACAGTATTGCGCGATAGCAAGAAATCTTCAATTGCACAGTATTGCGCAATAGCAAGAAATATCCAATAGCACAATATTGCGCAATAGCAAGAAATTGTCAATTGTACAGTATTGTGCAAAAGAAGATACTTCGTATAAATTGCTTATTTCTTGATCAATTTCAATGGGGTTTTATTCTTGAATTCTTGGGGTTCTTTAATATGCTGAATCTAACCGTGTATTAAGTTTTTGGATTTTGGGCCCCGTTTTTAAATTGGTCCACATTGAGGTCCAAAGGGTCCAAAATTTAACTTTGTTTGATTTCATCAAAAATTGAATTATTGGGGTTCTTTGATATGCCGAATCTAACCGTGTATTTAGATTCTTAATTTTTGGTTCTGTTTTCAAATTGGTCTACATTAAGGTCCAAAGGGTCCAAAATTAAACTTAGTTTGATTTTAACAAAAATTGAATTTTAGGGTTCTTTGATATGCTGAATCTAAACATGTATTTAGATTTTTGATTATGGGCCCAGTTTTCAAGTTGGTCCAAATCGGGGTCCAAAATTAAACTTTGTTTGATTTCAACAAAAATTGAATATATGGGGTTCTTTGATATGCTGAATCTAACCATGTATTTAGATTTTTGATTTTTGGGCCCCGTTATCAACTTTGTCCACATTGAGGTCAAAAGGGTCCAAAATTAAACTTTATTTGATTTCATCAAAAATTGAATTCTTGGGGTTCTTTGATATGCTGAATCTAACCATGTATTTAGATTTTGGATATTGGACCATAATAGGTGAATGTCCAATTTAAAATTTTTAAGTTCTTGGACCACATTCATTCTGTGTCAGAAACCTATGCTGTGTCAAATATTTAATCACTATCCAAATTCAGAGCTGTATCAAGCTTGAATGTTGTGTCCATACTTGCCCCAACTGTTCAGGGTTCGACCTCTGCGGTCGTATCAAGCTGCGCCCTGCGGAGCATTTTATTTAAATTAATGTTGTAGTCGTTAGATATTGAGGTTTAAATGAGTAAATAATTCAATGAACTTTTATCTTATTAGGACATGAATACATTGAGGAAGTTAAAAATGAACATGGAAAGACTGTGAGCTTCAACTGCAAACTATGTGAATGTAAATTTAATGATCCTAATGCTAAAGACATGCACATGAAAGGAAGACGTCACAGACTTCAGTATAAGGTATGTCTTGTTAACAGTGTTTTGAAATAAGTGGCTGTCTATCCAATAGGGTCTATTACTTGGTCATTGAATCACATTAAAATCTGATAATTTGCTTAAATTTTTTGTGTACCCTGCATAAAAGCATTATGTTTTGAAGTGTGGTCTTTAGTCACAATTTAGATTTTAGAATCTATTCACTTGTGATTTTAGATATTTAATGAAAATCAACCTCATTCTTTCTAATGGTTCAATTGGAGGGTCAACTTAAGATCTATAAGAAATAAGAAGTGAACATTCATTTTGACAAGGTGACACAATTTTCAAGTACAAAACCAAAAATGGACAATAATATTGCTTAAATCACATTTGCTTTATGGCTGTTCCAGAAGAAAGATATTAGGGTTGAGAGGGGAATGTTTCAGAGCACTTTATAGAATTAATTTAAATGTATAAATCTAGTTAAACACATGTGATCTCTATTAGAAAGTGCAGAATTTTTTATTTTCAGTTTTTTTTTTTAGTTTAGAAATCAAATACCTTATTCTGGAAAGTTTTATTTAATTGATATACATTTGATAAATATTTTTGACAGAAAAAAGTTGATCCTCATCTTCAAGTAGAAGTGAAGCCAAGTATTAGAGCACGAAAACTTCAGGAAGAAAAGATGAGAAGACAACAGCAGAAAGAGGAATACTGGAGAAGGAAAGAACAAGAAGCAAGATGGCGGGAAGAAATGAGGTAAAGGCTATGAACAAGTTTTCGTTTTTTAAATGTATTTGTATTCAACAGACATCTTATTTAACATTGAAGGGATCTTGTGAAACATGTATCATTTCTCAATACTAGAAGAACCTTCATTCAAATCATGTGTTTTTGTAAATATGTATTTTGTGCAGCATTTATGTCTTACAAGACTAAAAACTTCAGAGCCCTCTGCTGACATAGTTCTCAATCTTTGGGATTAAAATGACATAAGGGGAGTAATTTTGATTGCCACATTCATTAAAAGTCATGAACTTGGAACAATGAAAAGATTTCACATATAAATTGAAAGCAAGTCGGTTACAGATCCAGATTTGCAACTTCATGAAAATCAGTGTTTAAATATTACTGTAAAGTGAAATGTTTTTTGTTGTTAGAAATTTGCTTGAAAGGACTGACCAATCTATGGTAGATAGGTAACAGAGCTTCATTCATGAAATTATTTAAAGTATATATAAAAATAAGGAGATGTGGTATCACTGACAATGAGACAACTATTGACCAAAGAATAAAGCATGAAGAATATATGAACTATAGGTCATTGTAAAGCCTTTAATGATGAGAAAACACATACATCGCGGTGAGCTATATAAGGACCCTAAATAGCATAAGGTAGAACCATTCAAACGGGACAACTAATGGCCTGATTATATATGTATACCCAATGACACATTAGATTTTCAATGTTTTCAGAATGGAAGAAGAGATGTATTGGGATGGAAGAGATTATTATGACTGGCGAGGAAGACCAGGAATGATGCCACGTGGCCCTTTTATGCCAGGGGCAGGTCCAATGGGAGTAAGTTATGTTTAAAATTGAAATACATGTTAAACAGATTGACAAATTGTATGGAAAGATCATATAGATTACATTATTTGTATAGGAATTTTGTAGTCAAAACATAATACCGAAATTCATGAACTACAAGTTCGTTTGATGATAGTAGTCTGTAAATCATGGATTACAGCTCTTTTCATAATGCTAGCAAGACAAAGGTTTGTTTGACTTGCTTGCTTTGTTTGTATAAATGTTTACTCAAGCATTGTAATTAAGATTGACATCTGCAAACAATATAAGAAGGCGGAGTTGAACCTGTGTATAGGTAAATTTGATTATTTGTTAATGTCCAATCAAATTTAAATATAATGTATACAAGTTTAAATCCGCCTTTTTATGTTGTTTCCAGATGTCAATCTTAATTACAATGCTTGAGCAAACATTGATACAAACAAAACAAGCAAGCCAAACAAACCTTTGTCTTGCTAGCATTATGAAAAGAGATGTAATAGTTTTTAAGTTGTAATGTTTTGGGTGTTTCAAATTTGATATGCCTATGGTTCATCACATATGCAAAGAATATTTGATTAGAAAATAAATAGAAAAGGCATATGAAATTATATAATGAATAATATACTCACTGGCATCTCTTTAAAGAACAGAATACAAACTAAATCATAAAATAATGATTAGAATGATGAGGTTTTTTGGTTTTTTTTTTTATAGTTGTCCGCATTGTGTTTTGCGCATGAAAAAAAGAATTACAGACTATCTATTATAAGAAATTGGTGTACTGACAGTAGTGGTAAATTTATATAAGGGATCAAATACCATGAATAAATGTCAAAATATTTACATTGAACAGATGTGGGCAGTGTAATTCTAATTCTATTCAACAATCATGTGTTGTTAGATGTTTATTAGTATACCATTAGTTGAAGAAGAAGAAAAAAAACAGAAATGATTAAAAAAAAAACATCCAACTTGTAATTTGATCGAAACAGTTGTATCAATTAAGTTAGTATAGAGTGATGAAAACATAAAGAGATATTACTAAAGGACATGGTAATAAACATGCAGTGAAAATATGATCAAATCGTGGAATTTCTGTTCATTCTGTCTTGGCTTAATCTTTTTTTAGTAGCACATGTTGTTATAATTGAAAACACAGTATTGCTACATTGACTTCAAGTAATCGGTGAAGCATAGAACCCTAGAATTGCATTTTATTGATCTTTTGTGTGCAAAAAAATCAGAAGTTCAAATAATTAATTTCATATGTTTTTGTAGCCAATGAGACGTCCAGACACATCAGATGATCGTCATGTGATGGCAAAACATTCCAGCATTTATCCAAATGAGGCTGAGGTGAGCATTGCATTAGAAAAACTTATGGTTTTATAAATGTCAAGGTACAATACAATATTCCTTATTCTGTATGACCATTCCATTCATGCTATCTTAATTTTTGAATTGGAAATACAAAAAACATTTGTTTAGAAAATTTCTAGAAAAGGCATATGAAATTATACCATGAATAATGCAGTCACTGGTATCACTTTAAAGAACAGGATACAAAATAAAACATTAAAAAAAATACTAAGAATGATAAAAAGAATTTATATATAGTTTTATATGTACAATTATATTTGAAATATTACACTAATCTGTGCTCTCTTCAAATTTATTAAAAGATTTGATAAGATTTTGAAATACTTGAATAACCGTTTTTCAGCTTCAAGCAGTACAGAATATAGTATCGCTTTGTGAAAAAGCACTAAAATTGGTGTCTGATTTCTTAGCAGAAAGGTTGGTAGTTTATTTATTTTTATATTCCTTGCATGTGATATGTTCATCTATAAGATATCTGTATTCAAGATCTAGTATAAACTATTTAATAGATTTCAAACTTTTCTTCTCTTTAGTCCTCTTGCTGTATTTGGTTTCTGCATTTTGTTTCCATCATGAGATTTAAGTAGGAATCAAATTAAGATTCTCTTTATATCTGCAATCTAATGTTGCTACAGTACTGAAATGAAATCAGCCAAACTTATAATTCCTTCTTTATATAGTATGGCTATGTATCCTGTGTTGGTTTTCCTGTCTTTAAGTAAAGTACTAAAATGAGTCCAATTGAGGGTTGTTGTTGTCATGTTTCAGAAAGTGCAGTCTGCATATCAAGAAAACAGAATTGATTTCAGCTATATTTGTTTTACATTAAAGTGTAGTATAAATCCTGGTATTGGCCTTTATGCTTCTTATGATTACATCAAAGGGAATTTAGATTATATATTCCCTTATTTAGTCAGAGATCTAATAAATGTTCATCCAAACTTACATCACCTTACTGTGTAGTGTTTATGCATCTATTTGGGGGAAGGGTTTGTGAGTTCAAGTTCATCTGGGTCTATCTCATACCACAAATCTGTTTTGATGCAGAAATGCCTTAAGAACGAAGCCCCTGTATATCTCACTGAAAAATTTAAAGAAATGCCGGAAATAAACCAATATTGTTTGAGGAATGTGTATTGCAAAAATTTACTACAAGTTCCAAAAGCCAAAACAGAGCTGTATAAGAAATCTTTTATATATTCAGGATCTATTTTATGGAATAACTTACCAACATCCCTGAAAAAATCAACCTCAAGTACAAGCTCATTCAAAAAGGATTTAAAAAATTACTTGTTGGAACATTAAGAAGCTGTGTTATTTTATATGTATAATAATTTTCACACACTTACTCAAACTTAAGATATTGTTGAGGTAATTTGAATGATGCCAATACTATATGAATTTGTAATTTTGACCTGTTTTGAAAATTGTACATTTCATAACAATTTTTTATTTCATTTTTTCATATATGTGTGTTTGTTTAATATTTTGTAATTGTTTGTTTTATTTCATTGTATTTCATGAGGGCCTCAGGGAAGATTAGTTTTATAGCTAACTGTGTAACCCTCTTAAACAATTATTATTATTATTATTATTATTATTATTATATTTGTTCTGTAAATAAGTGTAACTTATATTGCCAGGATCTTGTAACAAGCAAAGATAGCATATCTGTACTAATTGAGATGCTGATGCATGTAAATGTATTGGAATATAATAGTTTGTGAGTGGGTAGGAATATGCATGTTGGTCTTTCCTAGACTTTATGTTCTTTTCATGATGAATTGTTTATCTCCTATTACAGACTAGTCCTATTTCCTTATACTTAGTTTCTTTCCTGTGTACTCTTCATTTTACAATAAATACTTGCAAGCAGGCAGGATTTTGTTCGTCTCATGAAAGTGCTATAAAGCAGTTATGTTATTTCTGCATTGTTTAATTTCTGAAATAACTGGATTGGTTGTTGGGTGGTTACATACCACGTCTCAGCACATATTGGCTCTGTTGCAACAAGAATAAAAAGACAAATTAGAGTTTTATATATAACATAGAAGATGTCGCTGTCATAATACATTGTCAAACCTTAAGTTCTGACCAAATTTTTAAAGGCCAGATTGTAGATAATTTTTTTACAGCTCTTTTCATAATGCTAGCTAGACAAAGGTTTGTTTGGCTTGCTTGCTTTGTTTGTATCAATGTTTGCTCAAGCATTGTAATTCAGATTGACATCTGCAAACAATACAAGTAGGCAGAGTTAAATCTGTGTAAAGGTAAATTTGATTATTTGATAATATCCAATCAAATTTAAATATAATGTATACAAGTTTAAATCCTCCTTTTTATGTTGTTTTCAGATGTCAATCTTAATTACAATGCTTGAGCAAACATTGATACAAACAAAGCAAGCAAGCCAAACAAACGTTTGCCTTGCTAGCATTAGGAAAAGAGCTGTAAATGGTCTCAAAATATAGTTCCTTTAAATCGAACATGTATAACTCCATATACAGATTTAATTATATAAGTAAATTCTTTGTGATTCCCAGCATTTGATGATAAAAGTATGAGGTTACTAATTAAATTCTCAGTTGTGACAAGTGGAAATCTGGTTACTTGATGAGTAAAGAAGAACTTAGTAGAGCAAGGAAAAGATTGATTGAAGGTTGATCTATGAGGACATTGAAAAGAGAAATATGGGATACACTTGTCACATTCTTTACCATGAAGATGCTGGTTTAATGAGTGAGCCATACTATTTTTATACGACCGCAAAAAAAATTTTGTGGTGGTATATTGGTATGACGTTGGCGTCGGCGTCGTCGTCCGAAGACACATTAGTTTTCGCACTCTAACTTTAGTTTAAGTGAATGGATTGCAATGAAATTTTACCATAAGGTTCAATACCACAAAAGGAAGGTGGGGATTGATTTTGGGGGTTCTGGTACCAACAGTTAAGGAATTAGGGGCCAAAAATAAGCATTTTTGTAACTTCCAGACATAACTTGTGTGTAAGTGTATGGATCTCTCTGACATTGTACCACAAGGTTCCATATCACAAAGTGAATGCTGGGATTGATTTTGGGGGTAATTGCCTCCAAATTTTAGGAATTAGGGGCCACAAAGGGGCAAAAAACAAGCATTTTTCTAGTTTCATGACAATAACTTGTGTGTAAGTGTATGGATCTTTATGAAGTTGTACAACAAGGTTCCATATCACAAAGGGAAAGCTGGAATTGAGTTTGGGGGTAATTGCCCAAAAAGTTTAGGAATAAGGGGCCAAAAATAAGCATTTTTCTAGTTTCCAGACAATAACTTGTGTTCAAATGTATGGATCTCTCTGAAATTGTACTGCAAGGTACCATACCACAAAGAGAAGGCTGGGATTGATTTTGGGGGTAATTCCCTCAAAATTTTAGTAATTAGGGGCCATAAAAGGGCAAAAAAACAAGCATTTTTCTAGTTTCAGGACAATAACTTGTGTGTAAGTATATGGATCTTTATGAAATTGTACTGCAAGGTTCCATATCACAAAGGGAAAGCTGGGTTTGAGTTTGGGGGTAATTGCCCTAAACATTTAGGAATTTGGGGCCAAAAAGGGACCAAAAACAAGCATTTTTCTAGTTTCCAGACAATAACTTGTGTTCAAGTGTATGGATCTCTCTGAAATTGTACTGCAAGGTACCATACCACAAAGGGAAAGCTGGGATTGAGTTTGGGGGTGATGAATCATAAGGTGGTTCAAAAAATTGGGGGGGATTTTTTTTTCATTTTTTTTCTTTAAAATTTTCCATTTTAAATTGGTTATTTCTGATTTAGATATAAAAGCAAATAATAATGATATGGTTTGAATAGGTAAATTAAAAATTTTTAAGTTCTTAGACCACTTTCATTCTGTGTGAGAAACCTATGCTGTGTCAAATATTTAATTACAATCCAAATTCAGTGCTGTATCAAGCTTGAATGTTGTGTCCATACTTGCCCCAACTGTTCAGGGTTCGACCTCTGCGGTCGTATCAAGCAGCGCCCCAGCGGAGCATTTTATTAAATGTTATCATTGACTTTAGTTTGGGAATTCATTTTACTGCCAAAAATCCAAGATGGGAAATAAAATATGAATATCCTTTTTCTTCATGCAATAAATATTCCTTTTCAGCTTGCCAAAGAAAGTAGAAGTGAAGATGGAAGTCGAAAATAAAGAAGCTGCTAAGGATGCTAAGGAAGGGTTAGTGTTTTGCAATCACATTTATTTTTTATCACACTGCATGAAATTTCCATGTGAAAAGATTTGTTACTCAAGTAAGACTCCTTTGAAATGATATCCCATTTGAGAAATTTATTCTGCAAATTCACTATGAAAATATTTCCAGACACCTGTATGATCTCACATAAATGTTAATGAGACAGATGAGTGTTGTTGCAGTACATAAAGAAATTCTCCCTTTCCAAAAAGGAAAAAAAACCTGAAAAACTATGAGTATAAATAAGAAATTCGAAAAATTAGAAATAACAAATTTCCTATATTTGATGCCTTTAATCGTTGATCTTAGACATTTTCACATCTGAGATTGCTTTGAATGTATGCATAAAGAAATAATACTTTATTACAGAGAGAAGAAAGAAGACAATCAGCCACCCAGAACACTGAAGGGAGTAATGAGAGTTGGTGTCCTTGCTAAAGGACTGTTGTTACATGGGGATCTCAATGTTAACTTAGTAGTCTTATGTGCTGAGAAACCTACCAGAACATTACTGGAAAGAGTTGCAGATAATTTACCAAAACAAATTGCTGCATGTCTAACTGAAATGAAGGTATCAATCTTAGAATCGTATAGCAGCTAATTTACTGTATAAATTGATGTGTATAAACTGGTGTACTGGTTTGATAGTCTTACGTTTACAGGAGGTCGTGGGTTTGATCCTGGACTGGGTCAAACCAAAATCTTTGTAATTGGTATTGCTGCCTCTTTGTCACCCATGATTAATTCAATGCAATAATACTTTAAACAATACGTCACAGAAAGGAAATGAAAGAACAGACATCTTTAACTGGCAATGTATTTTGTCTCCTCAGTTTCAAGTGAGAGATTGCATTGAATGTTATATTTAGATTAAGATATTTGTGTATTTTTAAAGTTGATGTAATACAAACTATAAACTAGTACTTTAGGATCCATTTTGTCAATGAATACAATTAGATTAACATAAATAAGCTACATGTGTCTACAGGTTTTGTAAAAAATACATAGAATTTGAATGATTTTCAACTAACTGCAAATACAGGCCATAATCTTGCCGGCGAAATGACGATTTAAGTCGCCAAAGAATTTTGAAAATCGCTAAATCTCGCCGGCCGACTGACTTCATAGCGAAGTCAAATCGCTATCAAAATCGGTAAAAGGGAGACAACTTGTAATTGACAAGTCTCACAGGTTAAAAAAAATGGCGGCTGACAAGGAAAATCGAGATTTTCGAAACTACCCAGGACTAATACTGTAAACGATCAAATTAAATAAATACAACGGCGACTTTGAACATCATCGGATATAACTTTCAAAACTGTTCAAACGGAAAACTGACCATCTGTTTAAGTTATCGTTTTACGATGATTTTCATCTGAGGATGATGCGTAATCACTCAGCTGATTTGTTTTATTTTTATTACCTACACGAGTCGATCAATTTTACTATTCGGTAGGTAAAGGGTGGGAATTAACGGTAGATTTATTATATTCATTGAATAAAAATTGAAATATAAAAGGTAGAAAGACAGCTGATGGATAATGTGATTGCAAACGTACGACACTCGACCAGATAATTTGTGATCAGCAGTGGATTTTTCTTCATGACCACTTCGTTGATATGGATGATATTTTAAAAAAATGATAGAAATTAGCTCTTTATCGGATAATTAACTTGAGATTGAAAGATATTTTCATTTATAGACTTACAATCTTTAACGATAATCTCAATTACTACAACTAACATAAATGTCTTGGACATTCAATATAATGTTTTACAAAACAATGACAAGTGGTGATATAAATTAAATTCCCAGTCATGTGAAATTCATCATATTTTTCTGGAGTTTTAAAAATAAATTGAGGCAGATGCACATGAATTTAATGCATCATAATCATGATAATATTACTAGGCTACTCCCTCATGTCCCAATCAACAAATTTTATTTAGAACACAATATGGTATCAATAAATAAATAAATAACAACTATATATTGTCTAAACCTTTTTATTAAGAACTTTCTATATATACATTGTGTACAATAACATATGAAAAAACTGCAAGTACATCTTTTATTGAATATAAAACAATTTCCTTAGTGATAAGCTTGAAAACACGATGCAACCGAAACGGTAATGGAATCTCACTTCTCCAAGAAGTTGACCACTTCTCCCTTCTCTCTCATGGAAGGAGAAGTCACTTCTCCCTCTTCAAAATCCTAGATTAGGCCCTGCAAATATACAGTTCATACAAGTATTTACCTGTGTGTTTGTCTACAAAAACTACATATCTCATGTAAATATTTATTTGATACTTTCACACTTGATATTTCCCCTCATTTTTACCAACAAAAAAATAAGATATGCTATTTTTCAACCATTAATTATAGGTAAATGGTCAAAATATTTGAAAGATTTTGCAGTTTTAAGTTTGGCAAATACTAAGTACCTATATGTTTTTTTACTGAAATGAATAAGTTCTTCAACACGCCTTTCTATTTTCAGTCTGAGGAAAAATTTGAAGTGAGACGATGTGTGGAAGAAGCAGCTATTGTTGTTACCAGTGATGCAGAAATTAAAGCATCATGTACCATCACTCTGACCTCTCCAGTCATGAGGGAAACAGCAACCCCTGAAGGAGGTAAAGACAAGTATTATCAAAAGTTTTATTTCTTAAATTTTGGCACAAAAGGAAAATTGTAGAGTGGTCATGAACATCTTCAGGCTAATTGTGGACTCTTTAAAATGAAGTGCAGTCAAGCTCATAAGTATATATAAACTATAGGATAGGGGCCTGGATGTACTTCACTTTGATGGAAAGAGTCTCACAGTTTAAAAGTTCCTAGATTCTGAGGTCGTTTTGTATTTGAGGTGGTTTGGTTTGTAGTGAGGACATGATCATTCTACATTTGCTAAAATTATCTTCTACCAAATATTGCATTAGACATGTCAATTGGAAATTAGAAGGCTTTACCATACAGGGTTTATGTATTGTCAGTATAAATAATCTAAACACAGATTAGTACATCGCATAAACATTGGTTTTTCATAGGGAGAGTTGTCAGTATTTACACAAGTCTCAACGTTTAATTAATTTTAATGAGAAAGTTGATCATGGCACTTCTGGACTAAATTTTAAAGTTGTTTATCTATGCAACAAATATCTCCACTTTACATATACAGTACTAAGGTTATGGAGATTTTAGTGGGACTTTGATGTTGCTTTTCTGATAGTTGTAGAAGCTGTCTGTTTATTTAGTTAAATTCCAATACACTCAGGTAAAACTAGTTGTACATACATATTATTTTCTATATACATCCTACAAAAGTTTAATTTTGAAATTTGTTGAAAATATTTCTTACTTTGTTCCAGTTCCTTTTATGAGTTCTTGGTAATGATTTTCTGATCTCTGTTTTCTTAGTTTTGAAGCAAGATAAGAAAGTAGGAAAATACACTGTTCACGATTTATATGTTTCACAGAATATGTAATGTTTAAACAGAATAACTTGATTTAAAATGATGTTAAAAGTAAAGTTTCATTTACAAGAAATGACTGTACAGAAAACAAAAGTAAAGTTTCATTTACAAGGAATGACTGTACAGAAAACAAAAAAAAAAGATAAAGAAATAATGCTTAAACAGATGGTCTTTCTGCTCCAGAAAGATTAATTATATATATTTTCTACTTTTTTTATGACATTTTGTCAAATATAGTATGGTGAACAGTATATTTTCTTGCTAATTTATATCTTCATATTAATATCAAGTCTTATAAATGTCCAGAAGTGACCAAAAATTACTAGAGTTTATTCTTATGCAATGCGAAGTACTAAACTTGTCGGACAACTTCCAAGTATGACTTTTATTCTGTACCATATATTTCTATATATATTGTATATGTAAACAAGATTGGTACAGAAAAACATTTCATGCTACTTTTAACTATGATATAAATGGAAGTTATTAACAATATGACACTACATGAAACACAAATTATTTATATTTTGATTATGTTAATAACTGTTTATATTGTGCTAACATTGGGAAGCCTTCTAGACAATCTACTGCACAGGTCAGAGAACATCCAGTCTCTCAGCGGAAGGATTTTTGACCATAGCAGCAGTTGTGGACTCCATTGGGAGATTTCTGCATTCAGACATTTTTTTGGCCAATTCTTATTAAGTTTTAGAGAAATATAGAAGAATTTGTATGTATTTTTCTATGATTTTGTTCAACTCGCATGTTTGCATGCTCTGTGTCCAGCAGTTCTTCTAATGTCAAGAGATTATGTTGCATGGTTAAATTGGAAAAATACATTAGTTTTGTTATGTTGGAGATCAATAACCATTTTAGCAGTTTATTACTTAAGCAAAATTATCTGTGAAATTTGTAACAATTTTTCTTGTTTATTTCTAAAGCCAAATTGTATTGTGAAAATTCATTTCTCAGTTAACCAATGTTTAATTTTTGTTTGTGATTTTTACTACATGTCAAAGTTCTGGTAAGGAAATGTGATGATTGAAATATCATTTTATAATTACAATAAAAGCATGCTTATAAAAAATCATGAATGCAAAGATTTCAACCTTTGGGGTCTGCATAAAAAGGCTTGCCAATCTGCTTTGCTCATGGTCAAACACCCATTCCTACAACCTGCTATTGTGTTAACAGAAACTTCAGCCACACCTGTAACCACCAAAGATCCACCAGATGTATTGGACAGGCAGAAATGCCTTGATGCCCTAGCAGCTCTACGCCATGCTAAATGGTTCCAGGTTGGAAACTTTTAATTTACTACTTTGCAGCCTTATGAAATATACTTTTGATGTTTAAAAGCTTGTGCAAGTTTTTGTACATATTTTTGTGGTTATTTAGCTATGTAAGAAATGTGCAGTCACCACCTGATATCCAAAGCACCTATAAATATGTTCATGAGACTATTTTTGTGTGAATGAAGAGAAAATTAAGAATGACAGGGCTCATAGATACTTCAAGAAATATACTGTAGAGCTTATTTTATGGCGATTTTGTAGTTATAGGTGCTTACAGAAAAACCACAAGAATCTGAACAAGTACAAAAGCAAACAAAACAAAACAATGATCAATCTTTCTTGTGTATAAAATAGCATAAATAAAAGCTGATATATTTTGATGCAAAGTCTGCAATACTTCTATTAAATCATGGTTTCATAAGACATTCATTGGTAAAAAATATAATCAATGTAAACAGTGAAATAGTAGGTTTCTGCAATTGTCATAATTAAATTGGTTATCAAGTCAAAAACAATATCTCAGCTTATAATATTTTGTTTACTGTAGTTCACATATTTTAATGTCCAGCTTATGTTTTCATTTCAAAGTTTTATTCATTGCATTTACTTTGTTTAAAATGTAGGTTTTTCATTGAAAAAGTGAAGAACTACAGTAACATCTTTTTTGCAATAACCCTAAACCTGACTTTATATATTAAGGCCATTTAATGGTATTATTTATACATCCTACATTAAGCAAGAGTTTCAGCCATGTAAAAAGATTGATCATTTGTGCCAACATGAGGCTGGAAAGTTGATATGCACACACAGGGCTTTCAATTATATGACCAAAGGTGGCTCCATTCTTCCAATAATTAAAAGAATGGAAGCTGTCTATTTTGTTAAATGAATTACATAGGAAAAGCAAGACCTTTTTTTTTGAAAGCCCTGAAAACTAGGTCTTAATAGAAAAATCTATGTTTATATATCATGATAACCCATTTACACTCAATTTTCGTTTGAACACATTTATTTTACCTCCAAAATAAATGACTGTTTATGGTTGAAATTTGAGTGTCGGTGTGAAAATACATTTGGAAAATGTGGATGAAATTGATATAACAGTAATTCAATTTATTTTGATATGAATAACAATCAAAACATTTCGGGGGAAAAGTTCCCCAACAAAAATTAGTGTTTATGACAAGGTAAGTTATTTTATTTTTCTTTGAAAAAAAATAAATAATTTTTTCTCCATCCACATTTTTCTTCTAATTAGTGCAGAAACTTGTGTAAAGCATATTTGTTTTGTATCATTTGTATAGGCTAGAGCAAATGGACTGCAATCCTGTGTAGTGGTGATTCGTATCTTGCGTGACCTTTGTCAGAGAGTACCAACATGGACACCTCTCAACGAATGGGTATGTATTGTGAATATATGCACTATAGAAACCAAATATAGTCTTTTCCTTTGGCATGCTATGAAAGATTGCCTCTCTTTGAAACAAATGATAGAATTTTGCCAAATATGCAGCACTTGTCTAATATATAAGTGATTTAAAATAACAGAGTAAGATTATATGGAGTTCATAATCAATAATGGCACTGAAAATTCTGACCCAGAGTTAAAGCATCAACTTTTAAGGAAAAAAGATGGACTAACCAAATTGATAAACAAAATTATTTAAAACTTAAGTAAAAACAAGTTAAAATTGTATACTCTTATTAGTGTTCTAGAATTAAACGCATGGGAGGCCACAACCAAGGAAATGCAACCACCCATATTTAGTTAATTTGAGTGCCTCCCATCCCACCCACACAATAAATTTTGGAACAGCCCTAATAACATTTGATAATGATTTGTATCTCACTTTCTGCATCTTGTTTTGACCAAAGAGTGCAGCTAGTGCTTTCCAAAAAGGTGTATTGAACGTCAATGTATAAATAGCTATTTTGCTTAAAATTTTGAAAAATGATACCTTTTTGGAGATAATTCTTTCACAACATCTTAGATAAAATTCAACGAAAACACAATCTCAATGTCGCAGACAAGAATGCATTTGGACTCTGCAAATAGCACAGTTGCTGTATAAAATAATATGTAAGGAGTATTCCTGATAAGATATTGTTCTGAATTGTTCTTAAAAAAGTTTGTTCTTTGTTAAGTTGTGTAATTTTAAGATTCAAAGATTAGGATTGTCTATAGAATGAAAGAAATTTATTAAACCTAATATGAACTAAAAAGGTATCAATTATTGATACCTCAAAAATGTTTATCATCTTTGTATTAGAGATGATTGATATTAATTGTTAAAAATTGTTTACAGGCAATGGAATTATTGGTAGAGAAGTGTGTAGCAAGTGGAGGACCCACCATGAGCCCTGGTGATGCTTTAAGAAGAGTTTTTGAATGTATTGCATCTGGATTACTCCTTCCAGGTAAATGTTAAAATTAACTGAATGATTTAAAGATATTTTGAAGCAGACTTTAAGCAAGTTGATTATAGAAAAGTTGTAAGTGTTTGCCACTTGACACATTTTTCAGCACACTCTATCATTTCTTATAGAGGAAATAAAAAAGCAACTATAAAACTCCTTGTATAAAATATTGGTATTCACTGCCTTTGTGATGTCCACATTCCACAACCAAGACTGGTTCACTCAGATTCAAAATGATGTTTAGTTTGAGCTACATAGTTTCCTACAGACTGTTGCTTAATATAAATTCCAGCTCTCTCGTGTTACTGTCTAGTACAAAGTAGGGTTCCTGTGTGTATTCATATATCATCAAACTACTCTTGTTAACAATATTGTTGAAAAGTGACTGTTACACATCAATCTTTTCTACTTTTCAATTAGATGTTAAAAATATTGTAGCAGTTTAAAATTATTGATTATCTTTTGAATTAGCTGGACCAGGATTACATGATCCATGTGAGAAAGATCCCATGGATGCTGCTACATCACTGACCAATCAGGAGAGAGAAGATATTACAGCTTCTGCACAGGTATTAGTTTTTACCAATCACTGTCAATTTTGTGAGAAAAGGTCCAGATCCAGACATTCGAAAATAGTGGAATTAATTACTTTTGGAGTGTCAAGAACTCGTTGGAAGTACTTGATAAATTGCATGCATATATTGGTGATTTTGAATCTGTTCAAAGTTTTAATTTTTCTACCCTATATACCACATTGCCTCACATTCTCATTAAGAAAAAATTCACACACCTAATTAAATGGGCATTTAAAAAGTCAGAATGTGAATATATATGTTCAAACTCTTTTAGGTCATTTTTTAGTAGCAATAAACAAAAAAACTATGTCAATTGGACATGCTTTGATACTATATATGCCCTTGAATTTTTACTAGATAACATTTTTGTTCGCTTTGGAGATTCCGTATATCGTCAGGTTATTGGAATTCCAATGGGGACTAACTGTGCACCACTTATTGCGGACCTTTTTATACGACCGCAAAAAAATTTTTGTGGTAGTATATTGGTATGACGTTGGCGTCGTCGTCGTCGTCGGCGTCGTCGTCCGAATACACATTAGTTTTCGCACTCTAACTTTAGTTTAAGTAAATGGATCTCAATGAAATTTTACCATAAGGTTCAATACCACAAAAGGAAGGTGGGGATTGATTTTGGGGGTTATGGTACTAACAGTTAAGGAATTAGGGGCCAAAAGGGGCCAAAAATAAGCATTTTTGTAACTTCCAGACATAACTTGTGTGTAAGTGTATGGATCTCTCTGACATTGTACCACAAGGTTCCATATCACAAAGGGAATGCTGGGATTGATTTTGGGGGTAATTGCCTCCAAATTTTAGGAATTGGGGGCCAAAAAGGGGCAAAAAACAAGCATTTTTATACGACCATGACAATATCTTGTTTGTAAGTGTATGGATCTTTATGAAATTGTACTACAAGGTTCCATATCACAAAAGGAATACTGGGATTGATTTTTGGGGTAATTTCCTCCAAATTTTAGGAATTAGGGGCCAAAAAGGGGCAAAAAACAAGCATTTTTCTAGTTTCATGACAATAACTTGTTTGTAAGTGTATGGATCTTTATGAAATTGTACTACAAGGTTCCATATCACAAAGGGAAGGCTGGGATTGATTTTGGGGGTTTTCCCTCAAAATTTTAGTAATTAGGGGCCATAAAAGGGCAAAAAAAACATGCATTTTTCTAGTTTCAGGACAATAACTTGTGTGTAAGTGTATGGATCTTTATCAAATTGTACTGCAAGGTTCCATATCACAAAGGGAAAGCTGGAATTGAGTTTGGGGGTAATTGCCCTAAACGTTTAGGAATTTGGGGCCAAAAAGGGGCCAAAAAACAAGCATTTTTCTAGTTTCCAGACAATAACTTGTGTTCAAGTGTATGAATCTCTCTGAAATTGTACTGCAAGGTACCATACCACAAAGGGAAAGCTGGGATTGAGTTTGGGGGGTGATGAATCATAAGGGGGTTCAAAAAATTGGGGGGGGGGGGATTTTTTTTTCCTTTTTTTTCTTTAACATTTTCCATTTTAAATTGGTTATTTCTGATTTATATATAAAAGCAAATAATAATGATATGGTTTGAATAGGCATACATGTGAACCTCCCGACGGGAGTACAATAATCCCGTTTTCAGGGGTCTCCTCCCGACCTCCCGTTGAAGAGGAAAAAATCCCGTGTATGAAATTTTTCATGAATGAAAAATTTCTGCCCAACATATCATCTCAGGCATCTGGTGTAACTGACATTACCTGAAGTTATATTTTACCTGTAAATCAATTAACATGCATAATTATATGGCTTCACTTGTCAGCTTGGGTGTCAAACATACAGGTAATCAACGATTTTTACCTCAGGCTAACTGCCGTTGTGTAACAAAAACTGTGTATTTATTGGGTTACTTCCCTTGATTTATCCTGTTTTAAGTTACTTTCCTTTTAATAATGAAAATTTTTAAAAGAATATAAATAAAATATAAATTGAACAAATAATCATACAAGGATGGTTATTAAATGATTTTAAATGTCTTAGGACAAATAAAAAAATGATAATTTGAAAATTATTTGAGGATTCTAGACTTCCTTTCAAGGCTTAAATTGAAATTTATATAATAACTATGACCCTAATTTTACAGATAAAATGATTTTCTGAGTTTGCAAATAAAAACTATTTGCAAGAGAAAAAAAAAAATAAAAACTATTTGCAGATAGCTAAACAAATGTTCTGGTTGCAATGATTGTTTTATAGAATATGAAGTAAAAAATTTAAAGAACATACTGGAAAAATACAATGTTAGATTGAACATGTAGAATATAAAGATGGAGAAACTTTATAAGTACAAGGGTACTATAAACATAATAAATTGGATGGAAAGTTGAAGAAAACACACTTTAAAAGACCATTTTTACAGCACACGGTTACATTTACAACAAAATTAATGTCGATTAAAAACCTCCTGATCTGAGTCCTAATCTCCTGACCAAAATTTCCCAATCTCCTGATCTGATTTTCACAGTCCATCACATGTATGAATAGGTAAATTGAAAATTTTTAAGTTCTTAGACCACTTTCATTCTGTGTCAGAAACCTATGCTGTGTCAAATATTTAATTACAATCCAAATTCAGTGCTGTATCAAGCTTGAATGTTGTGTCCATACTTGCCCCAACTGTTCAGGGTTCGACCTCTGCGGTCGTATCAAGCTGCGCCCTGCGGAGCATTTTATTTTGTATTGCTATGAGTTACAATTTATGACAAAAATCAGTAAAGACCCATCGAAACAACATCTGATACACAAATTTAATAATACTTTTAGATATTTGGATTATATTTTGGCTCTCAATAATGACGACTTCAGTATGTATACTAAAGAAATTTATCCTGTTTAACTTACTTTAAATAAAGCTAATACTAACAATGACCACTGCCCTTTCCTCGATCTTGATATCTATATCATTAACGGAAAGCTTAATACATAAATATATGATAAAAGAGATGATTTTTCATTTCCTATCGTTAATTATCCATTTTTAGATGGTGACGTTCCCTTGTCACCATCTTACGGTGTTTATATATCTCAACTTGTACGATTCGCTCGTGTATGTAACAATGTTTTAGATTTTAACGAGAGAAATTTATGTATTACTGAAAAATTATTACACCAGGGTTTTCGATATCACAAACTAGTCAAAACATTTACTAAATTTTATCATCGGTATAAGGACATCATTCGTAAATATAGCTCAACATGCAGACTTCTTATACGTTCAGGTATTTCACATCCAATTTTTTATGGAAATATTCTTTATAAAGCACAAAAATGTCAGTATCCACCTCTGAAACTAACAAAACCTTTAAATAGACTTATTAGGAAGGGATATAGTTACGATACTGTTGTCAGGTCATTAAAGATTGCATATTTTGGCGTTAATATTGATTCACTTATAGGGTCTTTGCATCGGCACTAAACACATTTATTTAAAAACCAGTTGTTGGCATGACACGGGTTATGTTCTTCTCATATATGTTATGATGGTATGATACTAAACCCCTAACGGGAAGGATTGTGCCTGATATTCATATGATGAAGACATAATCTTTCAATCAGTTTAATTGAAGTCTGGAGCTGGCATGTCAGTTAACTGCTAGTAGTCTGTTGTTATTTATGTATTATTGTCATTTTGTTTATTTTCTTTGGTTACATCTTCTGACATCAGACTCGGACTTCTCTTGAACTGAATTTTAATGTGCGTATTGTTATGCGTTTACTTTTCTACATTGGCTAGAGGTATAGGGGGAGGGTTGAGATCTCATAAACATGTTTAACCCCGCCGCATTTTTGCGCCTGTCCCAAGTCAGGAGCCTCTAGCCTTTGTTAGTCTTGTATTATTTTTAATTTTAGTTTCTTGTGTACAATTTGGAGTTTAGTATGGCGTTCATTATCACTGAACTAGTATATATATTTGTTTAGGGGCCAGCTGAAGGACGCCTCCGGGTGCGGGAATTTCTCGCTGCATTGAAGACCTGTTGGTGGCCTTCTGCTGTTGTCTGTTCTGTGGTCGGGTTGTTGTCTCTTTGACACATTCCCCATTTCCATTCTCAATTTTATAGACAAATGAACAAAACTTTGTTATAGAAATAGTGCAGTACAAAATTCTATCAACTTGATAATTATTTTAAGAGTTCATTACATTATTAAAATAATATTACAAAATGATGAATTCTTCAATATTAAAACACACTTGCATGTTAGGCACCAGTGAAATTGTGTAGAGAATTTATTGGATTCATTATTAATTGTTTGATTCTGAGAGTTGGAACCTTTGTAATTAAAGGCAAGCAGTGGATTACATACCCTTGGAAATATACATTTCCTGATGTTTTGATAGGAATAAGTCATTAACCATGAAATAAAGTATTCCAAACTGATGTGGATTATTTTTTTTCCTTAGCATGCATTGAGGCTGATTGCATTTAGACAAATACACAAGGTTCTTGGTATGGATGCCTTACCAGCACCTAAATTACGAATGCGCATGACTCCACGGAAAAGACGCCGCACTGACAGTGAGAATACTGGTGCTGATGGTGATGGTATGTAATGTGATTTACTAAAATTGATTATTACAGCATCTGTACATAATGGTAAAAGAAAATGAAATACATTTATGATTTAATTAAATCACACATATTATTACATAAAAAAAATTTAAATTTCAGGAAGATAATATATGAAATTGAGATAATATTTCAAATGATTTAGATCTTATGCTATTTACAAGGATGAAGGAAAAATCTTCGCACCATTGACATAAAGAGGTTGTCAGGAGTTGCCTTTGGTGACAATCATCAAAATAAAGGACAAAAATTCATTTTTAAAAAAAATTTCAAAGATATAGCAGTTCACTTGGATTAATGTATTTCACACCTTAAATCTTGTTGTGTGTATTCTATTTGATAACTGTTTAGGCATGAAGATTTTGATGGTGGTCATGTTTTTCTGTATTTATAAACTTTTATCACAACTTACTATACACTATTCATGAGATATATTGCTTATTCTGTACAAATCTATGCAGAAAAAAATTAAGACCAAACATGTAATGTCAACCATGAAAAATAAGGATTTGAAATAAATGGCTAATTCAACTGATTATTCAGGAATATATGTTTGCTAAAAAATCAACTCTTTATTGATTCAGTTTTATGAATAATATTGTTTGTACATGTATTGCAAACTGACTAATATATCTGAAATTAAAGCAAAGAAAAAGTAATTCATTCATTTTGTATGTGGCTTCATGGAATAAATCATCAAAAAAGGCATTTATGACTTCAGCCTGCTTGTTTAAATTCTCCTTAGCATGTCAATCAATCAGTTAGGTTATCACATTTAAGATATATAAATATGAATGATTACATTTGTTTTTATCCATATTTTTTTGTTTTGAAGATAGCTTGGTTTAGTCTAGACAACATGACTGTTAATGAAAAGAATTTATTTATTATTATCCTTGTATGAATTGTACACATCTGCTTATATTGTATCTTCAATCGAAATTTAGACAATGAACATTTACTTTAAAATGAGATAAAGTGGATTTAAATATGAGTATAATGTGAGTTATTGTTACTACATGTACAAGGTTTTCATCTTTCTACTGTGAAAATTGCTGAAAACTTGTAATCAAATATTTCATGTGTTCCTTAAATGATAAAATCCACATTTACTAAAATGCAAAAAGCTGGACAAATTGATAATCATTTTCATATTTGATAATTCAGAAGCCTTGAGGGGATCCTTGAGATCTCCAGTAAATATTAATACAAAACACACAAGTAATGATAAGATGCATGCAGTAAATGAAAGCGGACATACACTGTTGATGATATAAGTTATATGGTTTGCTACTGACCCCCTAGGGATCCATAGAGAGTTAGTTAAATCTGTAGGGGATGAGGCGGAAGGTCGAATCCCCTATGGATTTTAACAACCCTTTATGGATCCATATGGGGCCAGTAGTGAACCTTAATTGAATTTATCGCACACAGTACTTTTCCTGCCAAGTTTTGTATAAAAATAAACAATGAAATACAATAACATTAATAGATGACGTCACCATTAATAGTAGACGTGAAGTCATGATACCCCTATGAAATCTACGGATCAATAGGGGGTCACCACGTGACAGCATTACACCAATCACAATGTCACTAATATACCCAGGGTGTGATAATGAATCATGAAATTGTAGAAAATATCATCATATTTTAAAATTGTTTAATACATTTAGAATATATCTAATTTTTAGTTGCAGGTGAGAAAAAAGACAAAAAAGATGAACTGACAGAAGAGGCAAAAAAATAATGAATGTGTGACAGTCTTTCTGGGGACCATAAGCAGATTTGTGTTTATCTGATCAAAGTGGATAATTGTATCATTGTTAAATTTGGAAATTTAAACATTACTTATTGTTCAGTAGATATTTACTCATTTCATTTCACTTTATATGATTTTCATAATTCTTGTTTTATTTTGTAAAGCCAGATAGACAAAGAAAGGAATCAATAAGGTCTTTTATTTCCAAACAAGAATGCTGTACACGAACTAGATATAATCCTGTTCCTCATCTTACTCAGTGTCAACATGTTGCAAAAGCTTGTTCTTGATGATTTTTGTAAAGTATTCATTTCATTTCATTTCTTTCATATTTTTTCATGTATTTCATGTTTTTAATTACTTTAATACATATAGTTATCTGTTATTCCATTCCTCTCGATCATGAGTATAGAAAATATTCTTTGTAGGGTGGAAATTGTGATAGTTCTTTAAAAATATACATATATGTGAGCAGGTGTTAAGAGATAAGGTTGTTGCATTAAATGAAAAGCAAGATATTTTACCAGCATATTAAAAGGTGTTTATGTGGTAGATTGATACTAAAATAATGGTTTCAATTGATAAGGGAGATATTATGTAAGCTTATGCTTGAGTGCTAGGTACAAGCTTTGTTTGTTTTGAAGTCGGACATTTGAAAGCTTGATAATTGTAAAATGTATATAGAAGGCTATATTAGCCATGAGTGAATAAAAGTGGATACAAACAGCATGTCTGTATTTTTTTTCATCCTACATAGCTGTTAGAAAAATATGTATGTATATTTTCTCATTGAGACTGTTGCTTAGTCTTGCAGGCAGTTAATAAAAGTTGTAAAAGCCATGCAAAGGACTTCAAGATTGCACAACAACAATCTTCCTTTTCCCTTCTGTACTAATTAAAATAAACCGAGATGTTGATTTTACAGGGAATCATGTAACCAATTCAGAACAAGAACATGTAAAATACATATCCAGCTATGCCTTAGACGGTCAATCTTAGCTTAAACGAGGGCCTTTTTGAGGGCCTCAGGGAAGATTAGTTTATTCTAACTAACTGAGTTTACCCTCTTTAAATAAAGAATTTATTATTATTATTATTATTATTATAAACATTGTACTTTTCAACTTCTCAATATAACAACAAGTGTATAGGAAGTTGTTTACTCTTGAGGTTTTAATGGAAACATATGTGAAATACCATCAAGTTGAAGATGATTGTATTTGTAGAACCAACAGGACTTTTTGGTTCATATTATACATTAAAAGGGTAATAGGAATTGCCAGAAAAATTGGACAGTACAACAGACCACACAATCCATAAACTACTGAATCCCTGAAGAAAACAAATATAAAGATGTTGTAAATTGTGTTCAACATCCAGTGGCAAATACTGCATGCATATCAGGACAAGTACATTAAATGTGATACAAATATCAACCCTGCTTTTTAAGGTGCTAGTTCTCAAAGAAGCAGTCACTGAGCCAACCAAGTCTTTGCTGTTGCTCCTAAATGCTTGTAGAAACAGCAAATATCAATTTTCAAGTCTGGTTTGACCCTTGAAGCATTATATATACAGATAAGATGCCGAACTATTGTAGAATTTATATATGTTGGTATATTGTGGCCACTGTAGTTAACTCATTTTGACCCTGCTTACTAAATTCTAAGCCCTCTGTTATTACCTTGTCCAAGTTAGTAGTTATGTTGCATTATTAGTCCCCTACCGACAAAGTCCATCCAAGTTTGCACTCCATCCATCCATCCATCCATCCGTTTGTCTGTCTGTCCATCCATCAGTCCGCCAAATAAGTTTTCCACACTTTTTTCGTCATGCTTAATGATATTAGTTTGATATTTGGGATATAGTTTAACTCTGACAAGTTACAGATTAAGTTCGAATTTTGTTCGGTTTGGGTGATTATTTTGCAGAGTTATGGTCCTCGGACTTCACGCAAATAATCAGTTTTTCACACTTTTTTCGTCATGCTTGAAGATATTGATTTGATAATTGTTATATAGTTTACACCATGACAAGTTATAGAACAAGTTAGCATTTTGTTCCAGAATAATGAATTTTTAACTGGTAGGGGACTATGTATTGCCATGCAATACTCTCAATGCTTGTTCAGGTTTTGTTTATAGTGAACATTACTTTACAGCTTGCAGAGATTAGGGTACAAGGAAAACTTTGTTTCAGACTTTCCCCTACAAAATTCTTTTTTTCCAATCTAGGTCATATGGTGTTTTTTGTTGTTTGTCTTTACATTTTTATGCCCCTGCCATAGCGGAGGGGTCATTAACTTTTACCCTTGTCCGTCTGTATGTCCTGAAATTGGTTTCTGATCTCTAACTTTAGTTAGCCTCAACCAAATGTTATGAAACTTGTACACAATGCTTGTTACCACATAACACAGATCAAGTTTGAATCTGGGTGGTATCACTTTTACCTTTCTAGAGTTATGCCCCTTTGCAAATGGTAAAATTGCTGATATTTTCGTTTCCATTCTCTAACTTAAGTTTGCCTCAACCAAATGTTATGAATCTTGCACACAATTCGTTTCCATTCTCTAACTTAAGTTTGCCTCAACCAAATGTTATGAATCTTGCACACAATGCTTATTACCACAAAACACAGATCAAGTTTGAATTTTGGTGGCGTCACTTTTACTGTTCTAGAGTTATGCCCCTTTACAAATGGAAAAATTGCTGAATTTTTATCCTTGTCAGTCCGTAGGTCCCAAAGTTGGTTCCGTTCTCTATCTTTAGTTTGCCTCAACCAAATGTTATGAAACTTATACACAATGCTAATTACCACAAAACACAGATCAAGTTTTAATTTTGTTGGCGTCGCTTAAACCGTTCTAGAGTTATGCCCCTTTACAAATGGAGAAATTGCTGAATTTTTCGTTTCCGTTCTCTAACTTTAGTTTGCCTCAACCAAATGCTATGAGACTTATACACAATGCTTATTATCACAAAATACAGATCAAGTTTGAATTATGGTGGTGTCACTTTAACCGTTTTAGAGTTATGCTCCTTTGCAAATGGAAAAATTGCTGAATTTTGTTTCCTTTACTAACTTTAGTTTGCCTCAACCAAATTTTATGAAACTTATACACAATACTTATTACCACAAATTCAGATCAAGTTCAAATTTGGGTAGGGTCACTTTTACCGTTCTTTAGTTATGTCCGTTTATAATTTTATATGATATCCAAGCGGGAGCTTCATCTGTGTCCCATGGTCGAATTCCACATTTATTGGTTTCTGTTCTCCAACTTAAGTTAGCCTCAACCAAATGTTATGAAACTTGTACACAATGCTTATTACCAAAAAACTCAGATTTAGTACAACTTTTGGTAGGGTCACTTTTACTGTTCTTGATTTATGTCCCTTTGAAATTTATGCAAGAGGGAGCATCATCTGTGTCACATGGACACATTCCCAATTTATTTACTTTGACAGGTGTCTACAGTCTTTAGCTCACCTGGCCCATAGAGCTAATCTCGTTACTTGGCTTTTGTCTTTGTCATTGTCCCAAACTTTTACTAAGATCTTCTATGAAACTACAAGGTTAAATCTATCCTATCTTGGCCACAATCATTATTAGGGTATCTAGTTTAAAAATTTGTCTGATGATCCTTCTTGCCAACCAATATTGCTGACATGGATAAAAAATATAATAGTGGTAATATGCAAGTCTTGTTTATTATCTTGAAAACTGCTATAAATAGAGAAAATCTGACGGGCAGAAATGTTCAGAATGGTGAGATATAGCTTTTATCCATTTAACTGGACACTGTCAGCTGACTTCTTATTATACAACCGCAAAAAGTTTTGGTATCCTGTGGTCGTCTGCGTCGTCCGAAGACATTTGGTTTCCCGACAATAACTTTAGTATATGTAAATAGAAATCTAAACACAAAAGGAAGGTTGGGATTGATTTTGGGGGTTATAGTCCTAACAGTTTAGGAATTAGGGGCCCAAATAAGCATTTTTCTAGTTTCTAGGGGGGGGAGGTAAAGAAAAAAATTTTTTTGGGGGGGAGTCAATATTCGCAACAGCATGGTGTATTGCACAAAAGTAAAAATTGAATATAAATTCAAATCATATAACCAATTCTAAGTTCTTTGACTACAGTTACTCTGTGTCAGAAACCTATTATGTGTCAAATATTCAATTACAATCCAAATTCAGACCTGTATCAAGCGCGAATATTGTGTCCATTTTTGCCCCAACTGTTAAAGGTTGCGGTCGTATCCAGCTGCTCTCGGCGAAGCAATTTATTGGAGTTATTGCCATTTAATGATGATATTTATCTTCTTTTTTAATATCAAAAATGATCAGCAAGACGAGATCTAATATGTAAAGAAATCGTTAGTAGGATTGATTCTTCTTCTTCCGAATACGGGAGTAGACTCCTAGGTAGGAGTGTAAAACTTCCCGGAACTTGTGTGCTATGTACACATGGACTTAATTAAAATTAATATAATAAAGAAAAATAGTTTACAATAACATATATACATTATGTACAGTGGCTTGGTAGTTTAATAAGTTGTAGTGGGTCCTTCAAATGTTAGAGTGGATAGGCCACTTTTGAAGGATTCCAGGGTGTCAGACATACCTATTCCAATCAGAAATAGTGTGAGGGTAGAATGAAAATTTGTAGAAATCTTTATTGGTTGCTTTTTGCCTAAATTTATGTTTCCCCCTAGTACGTCTATCAGATTTTGTTAAATTGTCCTTTGGAACTTCAACTAACCCCCAACTAATTTTATATAGCATAGCTAATCTAGCCTTTTTTCTTCTAATTTGTAAACTTTCCCATTCCAAAGAATTTATCAAGTTGGAGACTGCTCCAGGTGTTCTGTCTTTATAATCGTTATAGACAAATCTGGTTGCCTTACGCTGTATCTGCTCAACCTGAGTGATTTGTTGCTTTTTGTATGGATCCCAGACAGGGGAAGATTATTCGACGACTGGGCAGACAAGTGATGTGTACGTAAGGTTTTTAACATTACGTGTGCAGTTTTTTAAGTTTCTGCGAAGAAAACATAAGCCCTTAAATGAAGATTGTACTAATTTTTATACGACCGCAAAAAATTTTGGCCGTATAAGTGTATGGATCTCTATGAAATTGTACCACATGGTTCAATTCCACAAAAGAAAGGTTGGTATTGATTTTGGGATTGTAGCCCTAACCATTTAGGAATTGTGTAGGGTCCAATAACAATACTTTTCTAATACTTTGTATAAATTGCTTATTTCTTGACCAATTTAAATGGGGTTAATTAAAGTCTTGAAATCTTGGGGATCTTTTTTGATATGCTGAATCTAACCTTGTATTTGGATTGCAGATTATAGGCCCCGATCATGAATTTGACCTGTTTAACCGTTAACGGTTTAAGTAGCAATTGTCTCCACACAGTTAAAGTAACAATTAATGACAATCATATCAAATGGTTGTAGGGTCAACCAAATTTTAATGTGCATATTTAATACATTGTTTATTTTTCTGCGTTTTTTGTAATCTGCATTTATTTGATACAAAATATGCCAAAAGGGGGGGGGGGGGGGTCACAAATTAAAAATACGAAAATAATCAAAACCCCATCCTATTTATTAAAAGTTTCTGGATGTGCAACTGTTAAATTAAAGTTAAAGAAAAATGTTCGCACAATTTTGTTCCACGCGTTTAATGCATTTTGAGCATTCCCGGTTTTCAGATGC